CACCTGCATTTCGGTGCCCCACCTGTATTTTGTATTGTATGTTTTGCTGTCGGTGGTACCAGGCCAGCACATCCGGCATCGCTGCGGGATCGCATCTCCAGAGCCCGCAGAATGAAGCAGTTGCCATGGAAACCATGGCTTTGGTTCCCGTGGCAACCAGCCGGGTTCACACACGGCTGCTCCGTGCCGACAGCAGGGCTGCAGCATCAGCGGGGCAGGGCAGGGCTGCTGGGTGCTGCCACCTTGGTGGGTGCAGGCAGAGCCTGGGGACACTGCCTGGTGCTGGCAGGGCAGGGCTGCTGGGTGCTGTCACCTTGGTGGGTGCAGGCAGAGCCTGGGGACACTGCCTGGTGCTGGCAGGGCAGGGCTGCTGGGTGCTGCCACCTTGGTGGGTGCAGGCAGACCTTGGGGACACTGCCTGGTGCTGGCAGGGCAGGGCTGCTGGGTGCTGCCACCTTGGTGGGTGCAGGCAGACCTTGGGGACACTGCCTGGTGCTGCCAGGACTGGCTCCTCACCTTCCCACCCCTGCAGGCTCTGCTCCATCACAGCAGGGTGGGCTCGGGGTGAGCTTGGTGTGGGTGCTGAGCTCTGCACTAACCAGCTGAGCAACACAGAACCTTTGCACCATTCCAAGTAGGAGTGCCCAGAACTGATAGAAGTGATGGCAAATCCCCAAATCCTACAGGTGAATGTGGTGCCCGGGCCAGTCCTGGGGCTGTTTGGGTTCCATTTGGGGCTCTGTGGGGACAGCTTGTTCACCAGCAATCCTCTGGTCCTGGTTGGAACATTTTTGGAGTCAAGCTGGTAGATTCTTGCTCCTGCTGTGAATCTAATGCACCATGGCAATCCTGACAAGAAGAATTCTTAGGACGTGGGGATTTTTCTGTTACACAGGAATCAAAGCTGTGTGCAGCAGTAAAAGCCTGCCCAGCTGCTCTGGTCTGTGCTGCAGGTCAGTGGCAGCTCAGGAACCCCCAGCTCTGCATCAGGTCTGGTCCCCAGAGCAGAGAGTTAAAGAATCTGGCTCGAAATTGCAAATCACTCTCCTGATTGCTCATTGATGAGGTATTTTCAATCAGCAAATGCCATGTAAGAGAAGAAAAGAGCTGAAATATGCTTTGGAAAAGCTCATAATTGAAAGTGTTTTTTAAACTGCTAATAAAATGTTTATGAGGGGAGCTGTGTAATAAGGCCTTTTAAACTTCACTAATGCCAGCCACAGGACCAGCAGCATTCCTGAGGCAGGCACAGGGAAGGCACTGGGGACATTATTTCAGTCTTGACACGAGAGTGAGCAGTTTAATTACAGACAGCTATAAAATGGAAAATTCTTTGCAGTGACAAATGACTGTTGCTGCACAAGGAGAGCAGGAGTTGGTGTATGGTGTGCTGGTTTTGCACATCTGCAATGGTTTGTTTACCAAATAATGACAAGGAAATTCATACAGGGACCAAATAGTGGCTCCTAAACAGCCTGGGTAGTGGGCACAAAGTGGGGAAGAGTTACCTCTGGAATTGTGTCAGGCCTTTGCTGTCACTGCAGTTGTCTGGTCTCGCTTCAATAACCCAGGTGGATAAAGGCTGCCAAGGAGCTGACAGGTACAGGAGGACAATCAGAGACTCTAGGGGAGCAAAAGCAAACCCACATGTGGATTTTAATTTGGCTGCTGCTGTTTAAATAAAAGATGAAGGGACTCATCACTGCCCTTGTCACTGCTTCCACCTGCCCGTGGAGCAGCCCCTGCTGTGCCCGTGCAGTGGTGCCTGGCAGGGGAGGGTCGGGCCCTTGCTCTGCTGCAAAGGCTCACTCAGCTTCAACTCAGCACAACCGAGAGTGTTCAGGGTGGAACATCATCTGCTTTCACCAGACAGCAGTTGATTTGCAAAACTTCCCAAGCATCAAAAGCCATAGATGTATTCACAAGAGTATGAGGAAATCCATTAATTTTTTTGGGGGGTGTTAGCTCAGTTTCCCCCTTGGCAGGGCCAGGGTCTACTCCTTTAAGTGATGCTCATGTGGAATATTTTTAAGTGCAAAACATAAGAGAGATCTAAAGTCGTAGGTTCTGTGGGTTCCTCAGACTGCAGTGTAACAGTTGCCTGGGCAACCAGGGTTCCCAATTGCTTAACAGGAAAAAAGGAAACGCTACAGTGATGGAGACACAGACGTAAGAAGGAGGGTCTGTGCTGGAGCCCGGTGCCTCCGCAGAGCAGAGTGGGATGGGCTGGGCTCAGTGATAGTGCAGACAGCAGCTCCTGCTTTAGAAAGGCATCCTGGGGATCAGCGAGTTCTAAAGGTTTTGATGTGCGGGGGCAGGTCAGTGACCGAAGTTCCAATGACTCAGGGTTGGCTGTCACTGTGGATTTTATGTTGACTGACGGGAAATCCTGGCACACGATGTGGGCAGGATGATTTGCAGAAAATAATGTGTTGGGAGGTGGCAGCCAGAGAGCTGCGTGCCCCGGGGTGCCAGTGCCAGGTCAGAGGGCACGTGGGGAGATGTGCTGCTCCTGCCCACCCTGGTGACAGGAACGGGGGCAGGAGGGTCCCTGCTCCCTGTCCTTCCACGAGTGCTCCTTTCTGCACTGGGCCAGGGCTGATCTTGCTCCCAGTGCAGGGCACTCTCCCAGTGCCTGCACCCAGGTGTACCTGCAGGGAGTGGGGCAGTGCTCAGAGGAGAAGGGCTCCGGTTAATCCCACCCAGTTCATGAGGCCAGAGCAGCTCAGCCTGGCGATCGTCTTTACCAAGTGAGCTGCAGTGAATTGCATCCCAGAATAGGTTTTGAAAGATTACTGGTGCCTCCAGCCCATCTGCTGCTCCAGCCTCCCCAGCAGCTCCCCTTGGAGAGCGCCCAGCCCTGGAGGAGGTGCAGACCCTGCCGGGAGCTGGCAGCCAGTCAAGGGCTGGGAGTGCTGGCACTGAGGGAGGCAGAGCCCGTGGGGCTGGGCTTGGACCAGTGCCACGTCCCAAAGCCTGTGGAGTGCCTGCAGAGTGACATAGTGAACTCCTGGCTCCCTTGGCTGGGAGACTCCTCCCGGTACTTGCTGAGGGTTTGCCTGCCTTCCCAGTAATTAAAAGTTTGTAACTAATTACCAGCTGCCCTGCTCATAGTTGGTAGTAGTGCTTGCTTTCCCCCAGTGCTGGGAGTCTCCTCTCACGGCAGGGAATGAAGCCAAATCTGTTTGAATATGCGTGTGCTGTGCCCGCTGCGGGGATTTCTGCTGCTCCTCCTGGAGAGCTGCTCCTGCTCTGTCCTCCCCTGCCCTGCGTGGAGAGCAGCTCTGGGGAGATGCTGCAGAGGGGCTCAGCTCATGTTTGCACAGCAGTTTAGCCTCAGCCTTCCTTCTGCTTGCCTCTTTGCCGATGACCTAGTGAGGGGAGGACACTGAGACAAGTCATGTGCAAGTCTTGAATGTCTAAACCCGGTCCGGGAGCACCTTCCTCCTCACCCTCGCCTTCCTCTCCATTGCTCCGTGTCTCACCCACGCCCCCGTGCAAGGGGATCAGAGTACATGACTCTCCTGGGTCAGGCAAAATGCTTTGGCTGCACTCGATAGGAAAGAGACTTTAAAACTAGTCTGTGGATTTGGGCCTCAGCCAGGTGGGAATCTCTGGGCTACAGGTCAGGGCTGGTGCAGAGCCAGGATTCCAGGAGTCCCCATCCTCCCTTGCTGGCTGTCCCCGTGGGCTGCAGGTCTGCTGGGCTTGCCCAGGGCAGAACTGTGGGGTTGTGGTGTTGGCCTCTCTGCTGCCTGGTTTGGCTTGAAAAGCAACAGGAGAGAAAGAACTGTCCCCTTTGCCTGGAAACTCTCTGTTTTGAGAAGCTTTTAGCTGATCTGGAGGGAGAGGAACTGTTTCCATTGACATACCTGCAGTGGTTGTGCCCTGCTAACACACATAGTTTGGTGCTTTTAAAAATACTTCCTTTATTGTTATTACCAGGACAAAGGTAGCAGCAGGAGCTGCCCTAATCTGTGTTCCCTTAGGCTGCATTAAAGGCTGGCTGAGCAGGCTTTAAGGTCCCTCCCAGCAAACCTGAGCTACAACACCAGCAGAACTAGTGAGGTCAGGCTGTGATTTGTACTCATCCTGGGGAACCTGAGACAGAAATAAAGAGATGTGTTAAGAAGACCATGGTCCTCTGCCAGGTGTGGGGTTTGCTTTTGAGCTCAGTGCTTGCCAGCAGTGAGGGAATAGGAGCACCCGTGTGGGCTCCATGTGGCTGGTATTTTCAGAAGTGTATGTGGGATTTTAATTCCCAGTGGTGAAACTTAACTTCAGAAAATGGAGAGTCTGTATGTGGCTTTACAGTAGGATTTCACCTAATTTTGTCTCTTTTATGCATATATAGTAAGTGTGGCCCTGGGCTGAGGGACCAGGTCTGTGGCTGTGCAGTGCTGCACTGGCTTAAAAAACTCGCAGAGCAGGCCTTGGAATGGTTGATCCCTCTCAGCTGTGGTTTGTATTTCCCAGCAGTAGTGCTGGGCAGTGTAGGACATTTCTCTGTATTGTGCCGACTGATGCAGCAGCTCCCCTCACCTTACCAATGGATGTGGTGATTGTCAGTGCCAAGAGGGCATTAGCAGGAGGGGGCAGATACACCTTCCTTGCTGTTGGACCTCAGGATTTCCCCGTGGTGCAGGGGTTCCACCATCCACCATCTCCTCTGCGTCAGGAGCTCTTGATGTTGTGTGTGTTGCACAGAAGCTCATCAGTACTTAGGCTTTTTCTTTCCTTCTAAACATTTCCGTTTTGGGGGCTTATCAGTTTTCCCTTAGAAAGCAGAGAGCCTTCAACTGGAGCAGTACTTTATGTGCCAGCTCTTGTCCTTCCCCTTCTGCCTGAATTTGGCAGGTGTAAATACAGCTGACCACATTTTACACCAGCATAACTGGCAATATAAAATAATGAGCTGTGGACATGGGAGTGACCAGATTAGTGTAGATTATTCTTGTCTTTGTTCTCATTATATCTCTTTTTCTTTTCCCTGACTTTAGACTTTAAAGAGGAAGGAGAAAGAATACGAGCACGAGATGGAGCGGCTGGCGAGAGAGAAGATCGCAACGCAGCAGCGGCTGGCAGAGCTGAAGAACGAGCTGAGCCAGTGGATGGATGTCCTGGAGATTGACAGGATTATCCGACAGACAGTTCAGCCAGAGGATGACCAGGCATCTACCTCGACAGCATCAGGTACCCATAATTGTTCTCTTTTTTCATAATCATCACGGAAGGCCATTGACAGTTACCTTGGGGTGGTGGGGATCTTCATTGAGCAGTCAAGGGTTTCTTTGCATTCAGAATAAAGTAAAAGGTTTTGGAGTGCTTGTAATGATTGATGATGTTAACAACACACTGCTGCTCACATGAATTAAACTGAGTCTTGTCCATCAGTGTCAGGTAGATACAAAGTACAGGTTTGCACATCCAGACTCTTTGAGGAGATAAATCCCTGCTTTCCAAACTTAGCTTTGTTCTTGCACAGCTCTGCAGACCTGCTCGTTAGAAGTGGGCATCCTGGTGCATTTGTGTGGATGTGGGAGGGTGTTCAGCACATACAGAAGAAGGATTTGGTACAGGGAGGATCACCAGAGCATTTGAACCACTTAATGAGCCTTGACATTGCACGAGGAGGATTCACAGTGAAGATGGAATGACACTAATGGATATCTGATTCCAGTTCAGTTCCAGTGAGAAGGTTCTGTGAGATAGGAGACTGCATGCTTCTCTCCACACCAGGGCTCTGCAGCAGGGAGAGTAGGCAGTGTGTGCATGTAGAGCTTTCCAGAGACACGGAGGCTGTAGCAGTGCATAACCATTCACAGCACTTCTTCAAGTCAGCATTTGCTCTTGGCCAGGCGGCCAAGAAAACCTGAGTTTGTTCAGGCTCATCACCTCTCATCGTGGCAGCAGGCTGCACGTGTAGTCTGGTGGAAGTTGGGAGCAGCTGTGCTCTGTCCTTAGAGGTGCCAGCTATTCCTTCTGCTGAAAGCCACCACATCCAGCTGCTGCTACCCAGAGCTTGTGGAGGGGAGGTGTCTTCCCTGGCGTTCCTGCTGCTTCTGTATCTTCTGAGATTTTTATTCTTTGCTGCATGGCTGGCCTAGAACAGGCAGTGCAGGGTACTGAGCTTGTCTTCCTCATCTCAGGGCTAGTATGTTCCTGTTTTGCTTCCTTATTTCCTGGATTGGACAAGAGTCCATTTTCCAGAACCAGATGAGAGACTTGCTGCCATGTTTCTCCATGGCCATTTCCTTCCTGCTCTGGGAGCAGTAGTGGTGCCAATTGGTGGAACAACTGGCCAGGAAAGGAAGCCCTCTTCCCAGAAGGAACCCACTTCAGCTCAGCCAGCTCAGCCAGGTGCTTTCTGTCAGCCCATGCTGTCAGCTTTCTGTCAGCTTCTGCTCATGGTGCTCCCATTGCCTGCCCAGTGAGGCCTCTCAGTGTGTTGGGAGCACCCTGCTCTAGCTGGGTCTTTGAGCTGTCACAGCTGCCTGGCTCTGGGTCCTTGGCCCACAGGCAGGGAGAAGAGGGCTGTGCCAGGCTGTGCCATGGTGCCACCAGCCACTGATGCCTCCTGCACGTCTCTCCTGCTGATGCTGCCTTTTAGGGAGGCTCGTCGGTCCAGTTCGTGCTCTGCTTGTTTTATTATGGGAGTTTCTCCCTTTCGTGTTTTCCAGAGGGTGAAGACAACATGGATGAAGATATGGAAGATGACAGGCCAGTGAACTCATTACCAAAACTCACGCAGCGCCAGCACCCAGAGCTGCTGAAAGCCGTCCCCCCCAGTGCTGCTGCCCCCCTGCCCACGGTCCTGCCCCCACACGTGTCCATCCAGCAGAAGCCCCACGCCCAGCCCTCCCTGCAGACACAAGCCCTGGTGCCGCCGCAGGCCATCGTCCCCGCACAGACTCACATCGTGGCGGCCTCCACCGTGCAATCGACTGTTATCGCCCACACGGCCACCACCCACGCCTCCGTCATCCAGACTGTCAACCACGTCATCCAGGCTCCTCAGACCAAGCACATCGCTCACATTGCACCTTCCACGTCCAGCCCCGTGCAACTCAGCACCGCTGCTCAGCCCATCGGCCACATCACTGTGCACCCGGCCGCCATCAACCACATGGCCCACCTGGGCCCGCAGCTGCCGCTGTACCCGCAGCCCGTGGCCGTGAGCCAGCCCGTGGTGAGCCACATCGCTCACACCATCTCGCACCAGCAGGTGAACGGCTCGGCGGGGCTGGGCCAGCCCGTCATGGCCAAGCCGGCCGTGGGCGCGCAGGTGGTGCATCACCCGCAGCTCGTGGGCCAGACGGTGCTGAACCCCGTGACTATGGTGACCATGCCCTCGTTCCCGGTCAGCACGCTCAAACTGGCCTAGGGGGCACGGCCGGCGGCCACGTCCTGCCTGGGAACCTTTCCTAAGGAAACTCCATACATTCCAACCGCGCCCGGCCGCGCAGGGAGCGCAGCGATGCCCGGAGGGGCCGGCCTGGGCTGGGCTGGGCTCGGCTGGGCCAGGCTGGGCTCGGCTGGGCCAGGCTGGGCTCGGCTGGGCCAGGCTGAGCTAAACTGAGCTCGGCTGGGTCAGGCTGGGCTCGGCTGGGTCAGGCTGAGCTCGGCTGGGTCAGGCTGAGCTAAGCTGGGCTCGGCTGGGCCAGGCCGGGCTGTCCCGGCTGCCCCTGCCCCGCGCCGGGGCCGCTCTGCCCGGAGCTGCTCATCCCAGAAACTTCAGAGACAGTTCTTCATGGTGATTTTTTTTCCTTTTACGTGTAATGAGTGAACTATGGATATGATGTTCTTAAGACTTTTAATTTTGCCCTCTTATGTGTTGCTTCTTTGTAGAATAAAAATTGCTGATCTCTTTATTGAGACATTGCATAGAATGGGAAAAAAAATCATAGAAGTCTATATTTATATATATGTGTGTATGTGTGTGTATATATATGTATATACATATATATATAAATATAACATTTGAAGGCCTTTTGTAAGGTTGATTATTTTGCAGGATTATGAGACAAAATTCATTTTTGGAGGAAGAAGACAGAGTGTTCTCTCTAAACAAGAAACTATAAGATAGATGGTTTGGTGGACCAGAGTACAGTGACAAAAAAACAAAAACCCCAACAACAAACCACGAGTCAAACCATGTTAAAGGTATTATTACATTTCAAAAACCATCTAGAATCACTGTGACTTGTTATGGCATTTTAAGGAAATTCTCTGTCCTGTCTAATAAAAGGAAAAAGAATACACAACCAGACTTGATTTGTTGCCATTTTATAAATTACTTGATTTTTATAGCTATGTCAAAAAAATACTGTTTTTTGTTGTTTTAATGATTGACAGTGCTTTGTTTGGATGTTTTTGGGGGAATTTGTATTTTGTCTGGCTTGGTTTGCTGATGCAATAATTGGTTTTGCAGATCTCTGTGCATGGCATGGCCTCGGTCAGGGCCCCCCTGCCGGTCCAAGCCCCCCCAGGTTTCTCGGGTTTGTTGTTTGGCAGAGGCAAACACTTTGTGCTGGCAGCTTGCAGGGCGTTTCTGTGGCCTGGTGAATGGAACCTGGGGCGAGAAGACCAAGAGAAATGAGGTAGATTTGCTGCATGCTTAATGTTTGCTAGTTTGTTCTGTCCTGACCACGCTTTGGTGTGGGAGCCAGTGGCTTTGGAAGGGGATAAAGGGGATGTGGTTCCCTTCCAGAGCACAGGCAGTTCTGACAGGGAAGCAGTCTGTCCTTCTGCAGGATAAGGGTTTGCTGCAGGAGTTCAGTGTGAGAGCTCGTGTGTGACAGTGAGACGTGCACCAAAGAACCCTCACCCCTCAGGACCCTCCTGTTCCCCCTTCCCGGTGGCTGGGGCAGACCTGTGTGAGGTCAGTGGCAAATCCCAGAGAGCCAGGAGAGGAGGATGCAGTTTGGCTCTGCTGGTACCTGCCAGCCTGCCCAGGAGGCTGCCTGGGACGTGTTGGCTGCTCACTGAATGTTCTGGTCCTTGCACTGTGTGTGTAGCTACTGCTGTGAATGATCTCCATTCTGTCTTCCTCTCTTTTTAGAGCAAGTATTCCACAGTCCTTACTGCAGGCAAAATGCTGCAGCTGCTCTAGGGCAGGATGGGAGGGTGGTCTCACATCTGCCCTGGAGTTCTGGGAGAGGAGAGGGGGTGGCTGAGCACCTCACCAGTGCCTGGCTGCCTCCAGGGTGGGGCCGAGGTCTCCTGCAGGAAAAGAGCATCCATACTCTGGCAGCTCCAGCCTGTTGAGGACTGGTGGGAGCAGTGTCAGGGTGTAATTGAGAACATCTGCCTGTTCCATACTGTCCCCAGTTAAAACTGGTCTGGAGGCAGGAGAAATGACTGCAGAGGTCAGGGGTGATTGTGCCTTCTGAGCAGGTGTCACTGGGCATTGGATGAAGTCTGTTTATAAAGCCCCAGTTACCACTTGTTTTATTTTTCTTTCATGCATCCTTGAGTTCAGGAAGCTTTTGGCTGTGCTGCCAGCACAGCTTCTGCAGAATGGACAAACCTTGAAGGATTTCTTTTCCTAGAACCCCATTTAAGCAGACTTTTTGTTCTCATTCCAGTACACCATTAACAACTGGGGGATTCACAGAATTGCAGGACTTGGTTGTCCTTTGTTCCTGCAGCTGCTTTCCTGAGGAGGCTGTGGTGTGCCAATATTTGAGAGCTTGGTTGGGTATTGGTTCAGTTTCTCCTCATCCGAAACTCCTCAGTGCTGAGTATGTGCAAGAGGTCAGCTCCCTGCTCAGGAGGGAGTGTGGCTTTGCTTTCTGCAGCAGCAGCAGGAGGGGGAGGACGTCTGTTTCTGCCTTTTTTTACTGTTCCAACTCACAGAGTAACAAATTCTCCTCATGGAAGGAGAAGGAGGCAGGTGGAGAATGGGCTTAGTGCAGGAGATTTGGCTGAGCCCCAGGGAGATGAGCTCTCTGCTGGGTTGTTGAATGGCCTGTGCTGTATGGACAGGGGTGCTGCTGACCTCATCTTTACTCCTTTATGGTTTAGAGCAAAGAGCTCTAAAAGCCATAGAGAGTTTAGACCCCTGCCTTGCCCAGTCCTGTATCTTGGCCAGTTTTTCTTTCCCCTTGGAGTTGTGCCATGCTGTCTGTCTGATCCCCATCATGGGTGTTGGCCTCCCCATTAGGAGCATCTCCCTTGGGCGGCCCAGGAGCTGCTCCAGATGCTGTGTGTACCCCTGTTCTCATCTGCCTTTTTCAGGGCTACCAGAAACATTTCTTTGGGATTTTTCTTTTTGTTTTTTGAAGTCAGTGAACTCCTCTCTGTTCTGTGGGAAGAAGAGCAGTCACAGCCCTTCCTTTTCCACCTCTGTTATTCCTGCTCAGAAACTTTGGATTTACACTGATGCTCTTAGAAATCCCGTTCAGTACTGTATGACAAGGGGCACTTTAGGAATGTCTGTCCTCCTTTGATATATGTTTTCCCTATGGAGAAAGCTATATATGAATATATGTGTATTGGGGATTCATAACATCTAATTTGTTCCCCAAAAAATCAATAAATATGAAGTTTACAAGAAATCTCTTCTGTTGTTGAATAATACTGGTTGTTGGTAACCATGCCACAGAAACAATAGAAAATGGGGTTTCTCTGAGTAGTTTGAGAGGGTTTTCTGTCCTGTCACCCCTGGCTCGGAGCCTGTTGGTCAGTGGAGATGGTTCTGCCGAGGGCAGGTGCCCTTGCAGCCCATGTGCTGCTGCCCACAGCCAAACCCTGCTCAGGAGCTGGGCCTGTGCTTAGAGCTCAGCCAGCAGGGCCAGGGGTGTTTGCAGCTGGGCAGATGTTTGGGCACAGAGCCCTGGCATGGTTGCAGTGCCTGGGGGAGCCACGCTGGGCTGAGCCTGCCAAAGCCACTGCCAGGGACGGGCAGGCAGAGGGCAAAGAACCCAAACTGCTGCTCTAAAATCATCCTGAAAAGAGCTCTTAACGCTGACACTTTAGATACAGGAATGTATTCCTGACCTCACCAGTGAAAATCAGCCAGATCTGTGTAGTTTATCTTAGGAAGGAAAGTGATCTGATTTCCCATGTTCTCTGCAGTTTGCTTGCGTGGGACCCGAGAGGCAGCAGGTCGAGTGTCTCTGGGGGCACAGTGGGGGCAGCTGCTGCCCCACATTTCACATGGGGAAATAAGGGCTGGAGCCAAACTGCTGCTCTGGGGTTTTTCTGCACGTGTGTGTGTGTGTGTGTCCATCTGTCTGTCCGTGCTGGGGCTGAGTGCTGGGTGTTGAAGGCCAGAAGGGCTCCAGTGTCACCCTGGTCATTGGCACAGCTGGGTTTTGGTTTCTTGAGCAGAGCTGGACACGGGGGCTGGCCCTTTGCAGAGGGCTCTGCTCTCTGTGCCCACGGCGTGTCCGGAGTGTTTGTCATCCCACTGAGCCAGCTGCTGCCCCTGCTCTTGGGCTGCTTGTCTTTTTTTCCTTTGTTTTATTTCAAAGTGGCCTTCTGTAACAAAAGAAACAAAAAAAATGCCTTTGGGTGGTTTAGGTGGAGGTGAGGTGTCGCTGCTGTGTCGGTGTCGGTGTGGTTGTCTGTGCGCACGCCTGGTAGATTCCTGTAGACATGCAATGCAAGGCTTCTTGTGTCTGGTTTTTGTATGTAACCTGTGTCTCTTTGGACTGGTTTGCATCCTGAGAGTGTTTTTTGCATTTAAAGAAAAAAAGAAAGTGAGAACTGTTCCAGGTTGGGTGGGTATGGGGGCTCTGGAGCCCTCCTGTGTGCCAGGGGCAGGGGAAGGTGTCCTTTGCCCCATGCGATGCCAGGGTCAGTGCTTGTTTGGCCCCTTTGCTTTCTGTGATGGGTATCCAGTGTCCCCAGTGGGGTGAGCAGCCTTGGCCAGATGAACCAGTTGACCTCTGCTTACCTGAGCAGGACTTTGGCTCAGCCTGTCTCGGTGTTCAGGTACTTGCTCAGTTGGCTTAGTTAGATCCGTGGCTGCTGCAGAGAGCTCGTGGAGCTGCTGTGGAGCTGGGCAGCTCTGAGCACTCACAGGTGAGGCTCCTCTGAGACCTGGCATGCTTTTTTCTGAACAGTTGTTCATTCCAGTCTTACTTTGATTCTAAAAGCTATGGGGGTGAGGAGAGGAAAACCCTTATGCTTATGGCCTGGTTTTTATCCTTTGTTATCATTTGGGACAGATTAAAATGGATTATAACACTATCGTTAGGTTATTTCCTCCTCGAGTGAAACATCAGTTGTTAGAAGTGGATGTTTAGTGTAAAGGAAAATAGGCTGTGGATAGAATCAGTCATGGCTTCTGTCTGTCCCTGTTATACAGAACTTGATAATCCAAACTTGAACTATTAAATACCAGCCCGAGCCCAGCACTGGGTGGGTGCAGTCTTGGCAGAGGTTGTGTTTGGCTGTTGCCAGGCTGGCTCCGTCCTTGCCTGGGGCTGCTGAGCAGTGAAGGGAGGCCCCACTGGCCTCTGTCCCTGCACTGTCGGTGTGGGGACAGGGCTGTTCTGTGCTGGGATTCGGTGGGGCTGGGCTGTGGGATGTCGTGGTGCTCACCAGGAGGGCAGGGCTGGTTCTGCTCTGGTTCTGGATGAGGCCATTGGGTCACCCCGTTCCTTGTGCTGTGAGTGGGAATTGGAGTGGGAAGGAGCGCTGCTCGCCAGGGAGCTGCCCCAAACTCCCCGCCTGTCCCTGCTGTGAGATTTTCCCTGGCTGGCAGGCAGGTTCTCGCCGAGGTTCTGTGGCTGTGGCCGGCACTGGCCCCGCGCTGGCCGCGGTGCTGGCCCGTGCTGGCCATCGGGAGCGCTCCGGCCACTGCCCGCGCTGCTGCCAATGCCTTACGGATACGCCTTAACAACCTGAGCCAAAAGTGTGCTGGGGCTTGGCAGAGCGAGAGACCAGGGACTGACTGCGCCCACCCGGTGGTTTATTGGCTTCTGGTCGGGCCCCGGCCCGGGCATCGCTGGGTGAGGAGCCGTGGTGGGAGCGGGGACCCCCTGCTCTGTCACTGCATTCACCTCCCTCCCTCCTGCCTAAAGCGTTTATTTATTGATCTGGTCTCGCCGTGCTCCCCGCGTTAGGAATGTGTCACTGGAGCTGCTGACTGAGCCCAGTCGCTGCCATCGCTGGCCCGGAGCCCCCGTCCCTCCCCTGCACCTCACACGTCGCGCTCACCTGGGCAGGTGCAGTCTGTGTTTACAGTGAGGACGTGTCACTGTGTTACCAATTTACTGAAATACTGAATATTGACAAACTAGACTGTAAAGATTTTTATGTGTTTGGATACATCTGCTATGTGAAAAAGCAACTAATTTTGTACATATTGTATTTTTACTATTCAGCTGTACAATACTGGCTCTTCATGCTCCAGAATTTAGGTATCCAACATGAATGATATCCATGTAATAAGCACTTGCCTGAAATAAATATAAAACTGAAATAAACATGCACTGAAATCAGAAGCAGATTTCTGCATTTGCTTCCCTGTGCTCTGCATGCAGATCCCTCACTTTGTTTGTGATTCCCCAGTTCCAAGAGCAGTGCCTTCCTCCCTCCGGAGCCGCTCCAGGTCGTGTCACGGATCCCCGGGGCTGGAGCTCCCCCAGCCCAGGCCGTGTCTGGACCCAGCAGGGGAAAGCAAAGCCTTGGCAGCGTCAGGAATCTGTGAGAACTTGGGAAAGGGTGCCCTGTCCTGTGCCCTTCTCCTGCTGAGGAGCCCAGCCCAGCCCTGCTGCAGGGCAGGGGGGCCCAGCAGAGCAGCCTCGTGCCCGGGACCCTCCTGCTGGACTCTCCAGCCCTCCTGCCCTGGGATTCCTTCCTGTGCCCTGGGCTGGGGCTGTACAGGGCCCAGCCCTGCCTCACATGGAGCTGCTCTCTGTCCTGCAGGTGCTGAGTCCCAGGTTCTGCTCCCTGTCTCCAGCACTGGACGTGATGGACGAGGATCATCCAGCACTGGGCAAGTCAAACCCCACGGTGGTGGTGGGAGCAGGGTGGGGCTGGGGGGAACACCACTGGTGTAAATAACTGCGTTAAAAATTACTGAGAGTGGTGGGGGATGTGTGGGAAGGACAGAGGGACCAGAGCCAGCTGTAACCCCATTGTGGTGCCCCAGTCCCACCATGCAGACAGGTGAAGGCAGAGGACACAAGGACACTGGAAGTTTGTTTAGGCCAATGTGTCTTTGGAGGCACTTCAGGAAGGGCTGATCCCTGTTGATAAATGCCTGATTAGCACTGCAGTGGCTGAGGGATGCCTGCACCCACCCCAGCACACAGAAGCCTTTGTTGGGCCTTTTTTTGGTGGAACGGGGAGATGTTCCATAACTCCTCAGTGACTTATCTCCAGGCAGACCTATTTAGCTTAAAAACCTGGAACACAGCTGCAGAAACTGCCCGTAGCAGGCAGGTGAGGCTGAGGAAGGACCAGCCCTGCTGCAAAGATGTAGCTGGAGGAGTTTATGGGGTCTGAACAAGGACTGGGAGTGATGGAGGAGGATCTCTCCTGGAAGACCAGCAGCTCAGCTGAATTTAATGCAGCTGCAGCACAATCAGGCCTAAAATTTCAGGATGAAATTCTTACTTTTTAACACTTGTCATAAGCCTTTTTCTGTTCCTGGGCTGGGCTGGCTCAGGCTCAGCCAGTGGGTACATGAAAGCTGCCCTTAAAGTCATTTAAGGGACCTCAGGAGTCTATTTAATGGTGACCTATTTATTGCCTTTAGCACTACAGCCTCTGCAGCTCATCAGAGAAACATTAATTACATCTCACCCTGTCCTCCCAGACAGCCTCATCCCTGATCCATTCTGGAATCACCTTGGGGGGAGAGAAATCGCTCCCAAATTGCTCCACAGGATGCCTTGACAATAAGTATTTATTCATAAGTTACATTTAAACATAAATAATTGAGCAATAAAGAGAATAGTCTGCTCCCAACAAAAATAAATAATACACAACATTGATAAAATCCAATCAGACAGAATGTTCTAACAAATACAGCAAAGTTCACAGATTGGGTTTGTGTGAAACAGCTGTACAGAACATTCCCAACATACCAAAGGAAAATAGTGCAGTATTATCTGTACATCCATCACTCCCCGGGCTCTGGGAGTTGGAGGTTTTTCTCACTCTTCTCATTCTTTTAAAAAATACTTTTTCAGTTTTCAGGTGAACAGACAGACACACCTGGAGCACTTTAGGGACTGCAGAGCAGCCGTGGGGGCTGTGGAGGTTGGGCACTGCTGGGACTGGGGATGAGCTCGGACCTGTCCAGGCTGGGCCAGGGGCTGCAGGACATTCTGTGCCAGGAGCAGGGCTCCTAAGCATCCATGGAATCTGCAGCTGACTCCATGAGCAAGAACCTCCTCCCTCCCTCCCTCCCTCTGGCTGACCCAGAGATGCACTTTCACAGCAAAACACACCTGGGGAAAGCAAGTAGAGCACAGGTAAGAGTTGTAGCCCGTGCAGTGCAGAGGAGCCCAGCAGCCCCAGCAGTCCTGGTGGGAGCCCAGTTCCCCACCAGCTCCTGCCACTCCCTGGGCACGGGGCACAGACAGCCCTGGGGCACACGGAGGGCTCCACACCCCAGCAGCAACTCAGAGCCCCCCAGCAACTGCAGCTCCTTCACCTGGCAGGGCTGATCCTGCTCACAGAGACCAGTGCCTGGTTTGTGTCTGTGAGACACAGGGAGACCCCCCTGCAAGCTCTGCAGGGCAGGGAGGGATCTGGAGGAGGCTGGGCACTGCCATCTGCTCTCCATGGATGTGAGCCCATGGCTCTGCTCAGCACAGGCAGCACGGTCCTGTCTGGGGGCTGAACCTGCTCACCTGAGCAGCACAGAGCAGGGCCTGGCAGCTGGGAGTGGGCACAGGCTCAGTTTGCACAGCAAAACGAAGGCAGGGCTGTGTGGGCCATGAAGGCTGAGCAGTGTGAGCCACTCAGCCAAGGCCAAACTGGTGTTTCAGCTCGTGGGCTCATCACTGCTCCCATGAACTGTGGCATTTAGGTTAAGGCCATTCTCCCAGCCAGGAGCCTTATCAGCTTTAATCACTGCTAAATACAAACCCAAATGTTTTGGCAATATGAGCTCAGACACATTCTCTTCCGTGTTCAAGGCAAAGACTGAGCCCAGGACCCTGCTCCTCCCAGGACCCAGCCAGTGCCTGCCACAGTGGGCCCAGCCTCGCCTCCACAGCAGCTTCTGGCAGAGCACACAAGGTGCATCCAGGCTTTACAGGTGCAGTAAGTCAAAATAGAAATGTTGCAGTTTGTCAAATCCCCCCTTTCAACATCACAAAGATGTAGACAGATGTCTTCTAGAGAGGGAAATAGAGAATGCAAAAAGATTTTGTCTAGAAATACAAAGTGAGTGTAACAAGGACTATCAAACACCAACCTCATCTGGTGAAGGGAAAGTTTGGGTTTTAAAAGTCTGTTACCATCTCCTCAATATTTATTACATTACATGGAAGATGCAATTAAAACACCATTTGGAATTACAGTGCAAGGAATGCTCCATCCAGTGGCTCCCAGCGAGGCCCCAGGACAGCCAGTCCATGGTCACTTGTTCTCAATCAGTGTCTGCACTTTGTAGACAAGGTCTCTGGCTATCCTCAGGATCTCTGCAGCATCGTGGTGCTCAGCCATTTCTAAGAGACACAGACAAACATCTGAACTGTCAGCACCACCTGTCTGCCCTGCCACTGATATTCCTGTAGCATTAGCATTAGTTAATTACTGTAACAAGCAGCAATCCCAGAGCATTTCAGAATTAAATACAGAAGTGGATGAATCCCTTGTACTGCAGGACCCAGCACTGAGACTCAGAGCTTAAAATGAGCAGGGGTTTGTCACAAGAACTGCAGCACACAGTCTCAGGAAGGGAGAAGGGGCAAAGTGTCATTACTTTTTATCAAAATGGCTCTTACCATTAAAAAACTTGATGATATCAGTGAAGTCCATGTTGTTATCACGGATAATCTCTCGATAAACTTCCACAAGTGCTAAGGCAATGAAAAGGACAAAATGTTCTGAAGAGATGTGCTTTGCTGCCCAAATAACTTCCCACACTGTAAATACATCCTCGTACAACAATTCTGAATGGGAATAAACATTACAAGAGCATCTGATTATTCAACTGACCACGTCCCTCCTCCCTCACCAATGTCTACAGCCCTCACTCAGCCATGACCAGACCCTGATGCCTCCTCCCTTTCCTCTCCCCAGCTCCTGTCACTTGTGCACTTAAGGCACCAAAGTGGCTTCAGGAACAATCAGCACAGCCTGGAGGTGGGGTGCTGCAGAGCCAAGCCCAGGAAGGTCCCTGAACCACAGTGACCAGTGAGAGCAGCACAGGAGGCCCAGGTGTTCTGCAGGCCCCAACATGTGTCCAGGTGTATCTCAGCTTTGCTGTCAGCACCAACTCTGCTGGAGTGTGCTTGTGCAAGGATCCTGGGGTCCAGGGGTGCTCCCACACAATACAGGGCATCCCACTCCAAGAACTCAGCCCCTGAGCTGCTGCTGAGCTGCTCTTTGTTATCAGAGCCATGAGACAGGAGGTATCAGGGCTTACAGAGGACTGGGATCACCTTCTTGAGCAAACAGGCATCTGCACTGGGCAGGAATGTGGCTTCAATGACATCATCAGGAATTTGCAACTCCCCTTTCTAAGCCTGGACTCATTCCAGTGCTGTTTCATCTCAGAGCTGCATTACCTTTCCTGGCTACAAACTCTGCAGTGACCCCAGCTGCCACTTCATCCTCACACTCACACCAAAACACAGAGCTGTTACATTCGACACAACTCTAAACTACAGACACACAACATTATTACCTCTTTTAAAGTCAAGCAGGAACCAGCGATAGCAGAAGTAAAAATGAGTGTAATCTCCATTCTGGTGCATCAATTCAAAAAGTTCTGAGTCCAGAATCTAGAATGGAAAATAGCAGCTGTGAGGATGTGGCCTGGAAGCAGCCAAGGGCAGAGGTGCTGGTCCCACTCTGCTCCTCCTGCTCAGCACAGAACAGCCCTTAGCTGTGGGTGCCAGTGCTGTGACCTGGCTGCCCAGCTCTGAACCCCACACTTGGAGCTCTGACCCTTCCCTGTGGCATCAGGTGAGTCCTGAGCCTCTGGCACAGCCTTGTCTTCCTTCAGATGCCCTAAAAGCAGACTCACCTGGATGAGGGACCTCATGTTGGCAAAGTGTGTGTCCATGGCACCTCCATTGGGGAAGTTCTGGCTCATCCTCTTCATCAGGTGGCTGAAGCAGCTGTAGGCCAGCTGATCTGCAGGGACAAGGCAGACACTCAGTGCTGGCAATTCTGGGACTTCTTGAGCCAAAATAATGGAACTGCAGGGCTTGGGAAAAACAGGGTCTTCCCCTTTGCCGTTCTCTGAATCCCAGGATTTAGGTGAAAGAGAGGTTGGTTCCTGACTCTGGACCATTTTTACCAGTTATGTTTTAAAGAATCCAGCCTGCAGTTGACTTTTCAGCAACTGCCAGAATACAGTAATTTTACTCACTTTGGTAAAATTTAATCTGGAAGTCAGTGAGTGACAGGGCAGCCCCAAAACACTAATGTTATCCATTTCAACAGCCACAGGTGGAGAAAACACAAATAGGAGCTGCAGGTTTGATTTTGCTGGTGACCCAGCTCTGGTTAATGCAGACAACTTCTGAAAATACATTTCTAAGGAAAGACCTCACTAAGGATATCAGCATGTCCCAAAGGAAAACCCTTCCTACCATTGTCAAGAATAACCATCAAAGGAGCCAGGAGGTCACACATGCCTTGGACATAACCAACTTCTAGGTGCTCCCAGACATAGCTGTGGAAAGAAGAAATCCTTGTATTGAAGGCTGATTCCATTTGTGAGATCAAATCCTAAGCAGCTGCTGAAGGTGTGAGTCTCAGAACCCTCTGACACTTCCCAGAGTATTTCACAGCCCTTTACTGTTTGCTGCCTGGATAAAGTGGCCCTCTGAGCATGGAGGTATCACCTGATCAGGAGAAGCCCAAACCTCAGAGTACATTCAGAGAACACTTCTCTAAAATAGGGTCTGTCACTTGAGAAATCTTCCCAAATCTGCATTCCAAACTTGGACCCATTTAAATTAATTACTGAGAATTCTTGTTGACTGTTATTTGCATATTATTATAGTTTATAGATTAGCTTATGGATTGTGACAGAAATGTGAAAGTGGTTGGGTTTACAAGCTCATTACCTGCACATGACATTTCGGAGCTTCTCCAGGTTCTCAGCAGTAAAATACCAGTAATTCCTGTCACATCTCTGGACATCTTTATCAATTCTGTGCAAATTTAAGGCAACAGTGTCCAATAACTCTATCTAGAACAGAGAAGTTTCAGTTAGATCTGCTAAGCTTACAGCATTCCCAGGACTCTGCAGATTTGCTCTGAGAATCACCAAACCAGAAACAGTACAATTGTACTCTGAGCAGATGAGGGCATTGAAATACTCAATTACTGTCAAAAATGCCAGGTAAAACACATTTGTTTTCACTGGGAAATGTGCCAAACCTGTCCTATTTCCAAATGGCAATTTCCAGCTAAATAACTTCAGCAGAGAGAAGCAAAAACTACGTTGCTGTGTGACAGCAAGAGCAACAGAGGTGGTGGCATCTTGAATGTAGGTTTAGGTTGTGGTTCAGTTTCACTAGATGGAGATTTTAGCTTAAGTAACAACAGAATCTTACATGCAGTATGTTGTCCACACCCCCAGGCTCTGGAAAGTTCTAACTGATAGAAATGTACCATACTGATTGTCTTGCCCTCCTACTTAAAAAACACACTCAAATTTTTCTTGCTGTAGCATTTCCAATCTAGCTCACAATCCAGATGAAAATATTTGGCTGCAAAATTCCCGAGTTACCATCCCACCAGCTGTAGTTCTAGTTTGGGACTCTGTCATTAAATGCTGTCTGAAGAAGCAGCAGGGTTTGCTAAGAAAGCAGTGATGCTGTGCAGAGGGGATGGCACTTCAGCTGTGACCTACTGTGTAGGAGGCAGCACAGACAGAGGCGACATCCACTAAATAATCCTGGGCACACAGCTGCTCCTCTGACACAGAGTCCTGGGCCTGCAGCAGCCCTGCCTTGGCCCTCTGCACACAGGCTGTGCCCGGCTCAGTCCTGCCCTCCTCAGTGCTGCCTTCCTCCTCGAAGGAGCCGCTCTGGCCGTCGTCGATGCTGGACAGGATGCCCGAGGTCACCGAGTAGTTCCTGGAGGATGGCAGCCCCGAGTCAGGCGAGTCAAACTCCACAGCTGCAGGGGCTGGTGCTGCTGTCAGCGTGGGGTCCTCCTGCCCCTTGGGGTCCTGCTCCACGGAGTCTGTTTCATCCACAGATATAAACACCTGTGACATGCAAAACAAACACACACTTCAGCAGCAGTGATCATCTGTGCTGGGTCTGACTGAAGGACCTAGAAGGAAAGATCTGGAGAGCTGTTCCTCTGCTGACAGGGGATCTGCCTTTGTAGGTGAACCTGAGAGCCCTTAGGCTTGTCCTGCTTAAGAACAGCTGTAGGCTGTGCAAAATTCAGACCTGCTCTTCACTCTAACACTGGAGACAGCTCCAATGTCTGCCCAGCATTCAGGAGCTGTGCTAACCTCCGTGGGCTGCACCTCTGCAAATGCTGAGCACTGCCCACTCCAGATGCTGGGTGGGAAGGGAGTACCTACATCATTGCTGATGGTGGAGTCCCTGTGGATGAGCCTCTGGACGTGGCTGTCAATGCTGCTGCCCGATGAAAACTTGGCCAGCGTGGCTGAGTGTGACTCCTTCTCTCGCTGCTTCACAATGACCTCGCAGGCTTTCCACTCAGCCATCACCTTCTGGTACCTCAGAGCAATGTCTGCATCCACCTGCAGACAGAGACATCCTGACACACTGCCCTGCTGGCCAGGAGGCACTGACGCTGGGAGGACACAGGAGGGAGAGGTTAAGGCAGGTGCCCAAAGGGTGCCAAGGCCCTCTTGCTGCAGCAGCACATCCCTGTGACTGGAGAGGAGTAGTCAGGTGAGGGGTATTCAGGGAATATGCAGGGAATTAATAACACTGTAGGCACCAGAAAGGATCCATATAAGCAGGTGTATACACTATCAGCAGCACTGTGGTGTGAGCCAGGATGGAACAAAAGATGTCACGTGAAACCTCACACAGAAATCAGATGCAATCTACAGAGCAAGTGCTGCCTCTGCCTGCATCATCCCTAATTCCATCCCATCTCCTTCCAACTCCTCTGTTCGAGCTCTAACATAGCCCTTGTGAAGAATTCCAGGTCACAGGTTTACAGACACCAGCCTGCACAGTCAGATCCTGGGAGAAACTCTGGAATCCCAGCTCCCACAGCCCTGTCCTGTGGCTGCACTGTGCACGGCCAAATCCATCTGCACTGGGCACCACTGGAATAAATAAAGGTCTTTGTCACTGGTGGCTTTCTCTTTTGAAGGACAGCCACAGAAACCCCCTTGAGCTGTTAAGGGACGTGTAGCAATTTTACCACTCTGTCATTTGTCAGGAGCTGAAGAGAAGCCACAATTGTGAGCTGGCTCCAGGCTCCGTGCTCGGCTGGCTGAGCTGCAGTCATAAATCATAAAATACAACAGTAGTGGAGGGCTGGAGGACAGCCTCATCTGGGAGTGAAAAAACACCATCAGAAGGCAAAGGTGATAAATCACCTGCAGTGACTTCAGTTAAGGACACAACGAGTTCTGTACGTGCAGGTGTTACAATTGTTTTCATGTCACTCATTTAACAGACTCCTACATTCCGTGTGAGCTTCAGTCTCCAACAAGCCATTCCTTTCAGGAGTCAGTTATTACTCTTGTTTACTACTGGTGTTGAGTAGCTCATTACAATTCCAGGTAAACTCAGAGCACCCCTGGGTTAGCAGGGTACAAACTCGGGGAGAAAAATCTTCTGTAGGAGCCTGTGTTCTGCAGATCAGATCCTTCCTATCTTGTAACATCTCTGTAGGAATTTACTGTCACTCCTATCACACAGACTCCAGTATTTATCTCTCCTTGCCAAATCCCCTATGTTTCAGCTGTACAAATGCACGTGCCCTTTGGAGACGGGGCTAGCATCCATGAGAGATGGCTTCACATCTCCCACTCTAAAAACTAAGCATCTGGGTCCTTTTCTTCATTTCCAGACATACCTTTTATTTCTACACATGGATCATAAATCTGATAGCTCATACACCTGTGGAGATCAGAGAGAGCAAAATGCAATCTATGCAAGAAACCTCCAATATCCTGCTGTGATGGGTTTCTTGAAAATCTGAGATTAAAAAAAAGAATGGAACAGTGCTCAGTAGAACATTCCTGATGTACACACTACAGCCAGAAAATCTGTAATAAACACCTGCTAAGATGACTGGATTCAGGGGGGAGAATCTGGACTGTGACCCAGTTTGAACAGTTTGAAGGGCTCTGTTTCTCCATCTGTGTTCAGAACTGGCTTTTAAAGATTACTGGGAGGAAAACAACTCAAATTGCCACAGCAATGTTTAGTAAAAAGGGAGCTGCTTTTAAAGTGCCCCATTTGCAAGACACTGATTTGTCCATGGCAAGGCTGGAGGTCAGGCTGCCCTTCTGCTCTGCAGGTGCTCACAGGGACATAAATTACTCCTTGGCATGTAAAGTAATTGGGAGTTAGCAAATGCCAAATGTTTTGATATATAAACCACTTCTTATCAATTTAATCCAGAACAGAATCAGCTACTGCATGAGTGCTACCTCCCTGGTAATAACACTAACTGAAAAGCAAATTAATGTATTATTTATATTCCAGGCCAAACCTCATTACTGTTCCATCCAGTTCAGCCAATCTTTGGGTGATGCCACAGAAAAGCAATGTTTTACCACCACACAGTAACTCCAGAGAGTCCCTCTGGGCTCTTCCCAGCTCCAGCAGAAGTCCATGCATGCAGAAGCAGTACCATGGAGAAAAGGGAATTATTTCAAGGAGCAGTCTGAAGTTAATTCAGCTAATACACCATATAAGAGAGGGGTGAGTAAAATTCCCATGTCAATGTCAATGTCTCCCCATTTTATAAGTGACAAATTTGTGGACACAGGGTGTGCTCAGGGCACGTGCATGCCATAGGCAGAGCTGAATGCAGGTTCCCTGACTTCAAGAAAGGAAAAACTCTCATTTAGTGACATTCTGACATTAAAACGTGGTATCAAAATCCCTCTGCTAGCATGTGTTACTCATGTCTTCAGTAATGTCCTTCCCTTGGGAATAATACCCAGTTGCTATTCAGAAAACAAAACCTTCTCTGCAAATGTAACTGAGATTCCACAGAAGCTGTGGCTTACCTGGTCCATCTCCTTCTTGGCCATGCCAAATTTGTAGTGACCTAACAAGAATGGCCACACTTCCTTCCGAATCTCATGCTGGACCCCACCATAGTAAACTCTTCTTAGTAATTCCAGTTCCTTGTAGTTCTACAGTGGCCAGGAGAAAGAGGTGTTGAAGGCAATACATCTGTATTTAACTCAGGTACACTCAGAGACACTTCACAGTAAGTACAGAGGCAGTGAAATACATGCAGGACACTAAATAAATTCTGTAGCTTGACTGAAGCCTTTAGGGCCTTAGCTGAAATCCAGTCTCATACAGGCTGCCATGCCTTCCATGAAAATAATCTAAATTTGAATAGATCAGTTGCTTTGATACTAGTTTATATCTTTGCCATGATCAGAGAAGCAAAGACTGTAAGAACCGACCCTCAGGAGCTGAGGAGTGACCCTGTGGTCCAACCCCTCTGGTATTCCTTGGTCCCACTGCAGGTGATTCCCTGCCCAGCACAGCACAGAGGGGACGTGGCACTGACCTTCCTGTCCTTCTGGTACTTGCTCCAGACCTCCTTGGTGAGGCCGGCGGCGGCGCTGGCGGGTCTGTCCTGGGGCACGATGCTGTGGTTCACCAGCGCCGAGAGGTGCGTGCGCACCGTGGACAGGTGACGGCAGTGAGCCAGCCCTGCGGGGACAGCGACAGCGACAGCTCAGGGCACCTGGGACAGCCACAGCCCTGCCCAGGGCACCTGGGAGCTCCAGGGACAGCCACAGCTCTGCTCTGGGCACCTGGGACAGCCACAGCCCTGCCCAGGGCACCTGGGAGCTCCAGGGACAGCCACAGCCCTGCTCTGGGCACCTGAGAACCCCAGGGACAGCCACAGCCCTGCTCTGGGCACCTGGGAGCTCCAGGGACAGCCACAGCCCTGCTCTGGGCACCTGAGAACCCCAGGGACAGCCACAGCTCTGCTCTGGGCACCTGGGACAGCCACAGCCCTGCCCAGGACACCTGGCTGCCCCAGGTACAGCCCTGCCCGCTCTGAGCTCAGTGCACCGTGTGAGAATGAGCAGTTACAGCAGAGCCAAAGGTTAAACAGACACAGAGCAGCAACACCCACTACCCTGCACATTCTGTCTTCACTGTCATCACCCCTCCCACTGCCAGCTGCAAAACTCACCAACACTGACACACTGGCACTGCACTTACATCCACCCTACTGCCCTGAGTTTAGGGTCAGACTGCTTTCTAAGCCAAACATCCCATGTTGTTTAGATGAGCATATGGATACCACGTGGGCCAGACATAAGAAGCTTCACTTACATCCATAAAAGGCTCTGGAAATGATCTGCCTCTTCATGCTTTCACACAACATCTTTAGTGGAGTTCTGTGGAGAGGCATCAACAGGACAAGAGCAGGTGGTGAGGACAGAGAGCACCAGGAATTTCATGCTCATCCCCGTGTTCTACACACAGTAATTTTTTCTCTACACCAGATTTGTTTAGTTAAAGGACACAGTAACAACAAACTCCACTTATTAAACTCCACTTATTAAACTCCACTTATTAAAGCACTTCCCCTACCAACATTCTGTCCCCAGACAGATTTCCCTTGGCACACACAGCCACAATTGCTGCAGGTGCACTGTAGAGGTCTGTGTGAAATTAAACTGTTGCCCTTCATTCAATTGTTAATAACTTGTAAAGATAGCATTACTAGAGCTGAAGTATTTTACACTAGACAAACAAACTAGATGCAATTTTTCTTTCAAAATGTGACCCGAGCATAGTTTAACAGACTAAATTTCTTGCTGCCTAACTTCATCTTTTTATGTTAGAAACCACCTGAAAATTGTTACTTGAAAATCTTTACTCTTTGTCTTGAGTGCTGCAACCACTCAAACCTTCCTGTTTTTACGTGTGGCATGCACACAGTCCCCAGGTAAGCTCTGTGCACAGCCTGCTCACCGGTCGTGGATGCAGCTGCAGCAGCTGGGAATGTCGTAGGGAGAGCTGCCCATGGAGCAGGAGATACAGGAGGAGCCCTGGCTGCAGTGCTCCAGCTGCCACGACAGCACGTTTGCCCCAAAGCCTTGCATCTCTATCATCTCACTGGTGTCTGTGGAAAAACCAAACAAGACAGAAGGACATCAGCCTTTTCCCTCCTCTCCCCTCCTCCTCCTGTGTGTCCTGATGGTTCATGCTTCACTTCCCAACAGGCTCTGAGCCTCGGCTCCAGAAACAGGAGAGCAGCATCCTCAGAGCCCCTGCTCTGGGCCTGCAGCATGCTGTGCAGAGTCCCTTCCCAGGAAGCCAAACCCCTTCACCATTTGCCCCTCTCTTGCCCATGCACATCCCAGTTCATGTTTCAAGAGAACAGAGAAAAGGGTGCTGCAGTAACAACTCAACTGCTTATTGTGCAATACTATGGAAATGTTATTTATGGCCAGAAGAGATCATCTAGCCCAACCTTGTATTTAATTCAGGCCTCAGAATTTCATTTTGCAGTTCCTGGAATCAGCCATGGAGCTGCTGGTCCAGCCACAGTGAAAGCTGGAGCATGGAAGAAATTAAGCAAACTGAGTCAGTTGCTTTCAGAGGATGCTTCTTTCCCTCTCAGATCCTAAAATACTGCACAGAGGGACAGTCCCAGTCCTGCTAATGTCCACACTATATTTAGAAAAGGATACTCTCTACAGGAGTATGTGATCCAACTGTACCATGCAGCTTCCTGAGTTATACCTGCTCCACCAAATCTATTTGCCTTTTTAAACAGCCTCAGAAAGGCAAATAAAAAAAATCAGCAGCTCCCTTCAGAAAGTCTGGCTTCAATTCTTCAGCCTTCCCAGCTGGCATTTGAACTCGTGGGGGTTTTGGTTTATAATAAATAACTGGCCTTTCAGCTCACCCATGATTAAAATTAAGGCAAATATAATAATGTATGTCATAAAGTATGCCACTAAATTAACAATTACAAACAAAATCCAGTCCCCTGGGCCGTGCTTTTAAAACAGGTATTTGTTGAGTGGTGGGGGGGGCAATTCCAAACCATCTCATGCATTTTAAATCAAGGTAGCACAAAGCATTTTAGGAGTGCCTATTAGAAAGTGGGCAGAGGTGAGGGAGGAATGGAGTAACCCATTTGTTAACAGGAAAAGCACAGGCTCATGCGGAAGCAGTCATGTGTGTTTACTTCACAAAACAAAGTGTGATGCAAAAATGCTCTTCACCTTAATTCTTCAGGAAGGAGCTGAACGACCCAGTCTTTATTGCAGCTTCTTATTGGGTTCAAATAAAAAACCACTGGATAAACATTTTTAGATCATTAGTTTTTGCCTCCCCTCTGTAGACAGGAAAATTGGGTTTTTCAGTTTTAATTTTTTATTCTGTTTTTTTTAGAGAAACAAGGAAAGAACCCCACAGAACCTAAAGATTCAGATGAAAGGTACCAGAATTAGTGAAGAATTAGAGTGAACAGCATCTTTTATTTAATTGTAGTGGTGTTATCTGTAACTTCAGCTACATGCAAAAGTCGAGCATGTTGCAAAATGTCAAAGCAGATGGCTGGCAAACCTGCTACAACAGTGTTGTCATTATGGGATGGGGCTGCTGGAGAGACAGCAGCCCAGCCAGGCTATTCCCAGACACATCCCTACCTCTATCATCCCCTTCAAGATTAAATAACCAAAAGCAGACACCTGGCAGCCATTCTAGTGGGATAACTTCCATGTTCCATCAACTGACTAAAGACTAAATTGTGGACGTGGCAGTTAAATGTTCTCCTTCCCCTTTTTGCCCATATCCAGGCACAATCAGTTAGGACACACTGAAACTTCCTAAAACAGTGTCTTTTTTCAAGAGGAACACTATTTTTGGAACTTCTTTCCGTCCATGCCTTCCAAGAACTCTTTATTAACCTGGGCTGGGCTTTATCAATTTCCAGGGGCTGCTCCTTTGGGATAAGTGTGTGGGCAGCCTAGAAGAACTGAGGCTCTCCTTGAACACCTGTTCATACCCTGTCTAACCCAGAACTCTGGCATTGTACAGAGATGCAGGGCAATTATTGTCTCTTGCAGTCAGTCCCATAAGTCCAGGGTATAAGAGAAAGCAAAGACTTCTCAGAATTCAGAGCTAAACTACTGGATGCCAAATGCACACACATCTTGAGAATACCAACTTAAATAATATGAAGAAATAGGTGACAAATTAGTAGAGGGGGCTGGAGCACCCAGCACCCCCAGCCTATGGATGCAAGTGGAATGAAAGCACCAACCCCAGACAGGCATTGCATTTCCACACAGCCTTCTCTGCACACTCTGCTACCTCATCTGAGACATCACAAAGCTCTCACACTGCCTCCTTCTCTCCTGAGAACCTGCTCTAGTATCCAGCCTTTGTGAAGGAGGGGCAGGAAGCCCCACAGGAGAGGAGCTTTGCTGCTCAGCAGCACACACATGGAGGGAGGGGGAAGATGCTGTTCCCACTCCCCACAGGCTGTGAGCCATCCCCGGCCTCTGTGCACAGCCCCCTCCATCTCCAGATCTCATGGTGGGAGTGAAATGTCTTTCCCTGTAATAATGCCAACACTGTTGTATGCATCAGTGGAAGGAGCTGCAAGAGAGCTCTGGGACACAGGGGGAGGAGGATAAAAACCTTTCATCCTATTAGGAGCTGTGAGGTTCCGAGAGCAGATCATTGATAGCATTGCGTGGAGCTTATCTTCCTCCTCCTCATCATCGTCAACAGAGGTAGAGCGGCTGGCAGCTAAGTGGTGGTAGTTAATAGTTACTGCTCAAAGAAAATAGTGAAAGAGGAGCATAAGAAGAAAGAACTCAGTGCTGTGGGAAAGCTCAAAAGGACATGGTCAGCAAAGACAAAGGACCTGAATCCTGCCCTCTGCTCGAGGGGACTGCTCTTGTAAATGGGTGTGAAAACTGTTTTCACAGAAACAAAGCATGCTCCACCAAACTCAGGCCAGCCTTGGAGTGTGCACAGGCTGTGAGAGTGCACATGGCACACCACGGCAAGGGAGGAAGATCCCAGTGCCAGCCTGCAGCAGCTGGGTATGCTTTTGAGCAAAGCTCCACGGGAATTCTAGGCTCCAGCTAGCTCCTGTCCTTCACCGTGCCCTTAGCAATGCTGTGGCCCCTTCTCTGAAACCTGTGCCAGCTGCATCTGGACAGCAAACCCTCGCTCCCAGCTGTGTGTGCCTCTGCAGACAGGCAGAGTTCCTGCCTGGCACAGCTCCTGCCCCACGAGTCCCTGGGCTCTGCAGCCCCTGCACCAGGCCAAGGTGTGTGCATGGACTTACCTGTGCCAGCCCAGGAGCCCTGACACAGCCCAGCAGGCACTGTGCCTCAGGAGGCTGCAGAGGAGGCTCCTGCTTCCTCAGCTGCACTAAGTCCCAGTATGAGCAGTAACTCCAAATCTCCTGTAAACTTCAGGGTCTGATCTTCCCAGGAAATTCTTGCTTCTTTGCCAAGGGGAATAAAACTGATCATGCTGCTTGAGAACTAGCTCAAATGCCTTCTTGCATGTAAGGAATTTGTATTCACTGATGACATGAGGTGGTTTGGTGCTTGGGAATTCATTTAGTTTCCTTGGAAGGGCCTTTATTTATCCATTGTTAAGTTTGTGCTTCCAAGCCAGGAAAACTTAGCCCAGAGAGTTCTTGGGGTACTTTTAAGAGTTTCTGGTTGGGTTTTTTTTTCCTAATAACAACATTATGAGCAAGCATTGTGGCCAGTAAAAATATCCTCACTTCAGGAGCAAAACTGCTCTTGGCTAGTCAAGCAATCTTTTTTGTTTCAGTCTCAGTTTGCAAGCCCAGGGGAGTATTTTGAAAACTGCCTCTGTAAAACACAGAGTAAATGTAAGATTCCCCACCTCAACTCCATTTCCACTAAGATAACAAGTCTCACTGCATTAAGGAAACTTAAGATGTACCTGTTGATCCTAATTATCTCTCAGTGAAATTTATTACAGGTTTGGGTTTTTTTACCCCCTTACAAAAACGTGGCTTGTCACCTGTAGGTACTTCCCAGAATATTACTTCAAGATTTTCTCAGATGCCTGATTCGGTTTTTGTCTGTGTTTTTTTTTCAAACAAAGCTGAACAGAGACACTTACTGTTATCATGCTTGTGTCCAGGATAAATAATTCTGAAGACATAGTCTGTGGATGTGTCCTCAGCTGGCATCTCCTCCAGATCCACTGATTTGTTGCTGTTCCGTTTTCGAAGCTTTGGAAACACCTTGCCCTAGAGAAAATAATAATAATTCCATCCATTGAGCTATGAGTGACTAACAGAGTACAACAAAGTACTGCAGACCTCTGGCATCTTAAATCTCCAATAATTAATCTTTCAATGTTGGGAAGAGGTGAGGGAGAAAACAGTGGGGTCATACACAGCTGGTGGTTTTGTAGTTAATAATACTTTTCTGTGCTCTCTAAAGCAGCCTTTTCTTGTAATCTCTGGGAGCTGGGCACCCCAGCAGCTCTGCCCAGTCCATCTGAGTCTCACTTGTGTTGTGTGGGTTTGTATCTTGATGCAACAGTAGATTTCTGCTCACTGCTCAATGGGGCAATGAAAGTATGAACAATTTTTATAGACCACTGTATAAGAAGCCAACTGGACTAAATGGAGTTTATTTTGCATCCTACTTTACCATAAAGCAGCTGAAGTCAGTGCCCAGACCCTGTGGAGCAGAGATACCCAGAGCTCACCAGAAGCAGCAGTACCTTGCCTTGCTGGGACCACAGTGGGGGCTCCAGCTGGCCCCGGGGCAGGAGCCCATTCTCCAGGCAGGACAGGAAGGCGAGGAGGTGCCCTCCTTGGGGGAAGTGCAGTGGAGGCCTCTGGGTCCCATCCTGACTCACCAGCACTAATGTCCATCTGCTTTCTGCTGCAAGGAGGACAAGGGGAGTCCACACTGTTACATCACAGCCTCAGTTTTCTGCTCTTCCCTTCTAAGAAAATTTTATTTGGGACCATCTCTAAGTAGATAAATAAACCTTTGGAAGGCACAGTGTGATGTAAGGATGACATCAGCCCTTTAGTCCTAAAGAAACTCAGGATACAACAAACTATGAAAGCCTCATACAGTTGTTATCCTCTATCACGTGGGACTGGAGATTTTAACACTCACTCCCACATGGCCAGAACTAGTCAGAGGTGTTCCCAGCACTGAGGGAGGAAAAGCAATCATTCAAGGCTCTCCTGTTTGTGTATGTTTAAGGAATACATGCTTAAGGGTTATGCTTACGTTGCTGATGGCAGTGGATGCAGACAATCTGGCTCAGTGGCACAATCAATGCATAGTCCCAGTAAACACTAGAAGGGAAGGAAAGTGAAGGAAACATTGTTTTTTCTATATTCAGGAATGCTTGCAGTTCCAAGCACCTAACAGAAAGATTCTGCTAAGTTAATAACTGCTTATTAAATTTGGTCAATTAAAGTAAATTATTACTCAAGTAAATGGCAGAGGAAACTAGTTTCTCCACACTGGATATTCTGGTACCAGGTTTGTACAACCTCAGCTTCCCTCTTCCCCTCCCCTTCCTCTTTCCTGGTGCTCCCCCAGCAGGTTACACAGTGCTTCCCATTTTTCCTGAATGCAATGAGTACCTTTTCTCCAGTTCTGAATCTCCAAGGGTTCCATTCATCAGCTGGTTTGGAGTCCATTTTAATGTCAAACTATCTGCTGATTGATGGAGGGAGAGATACCCAGGGATTGCCTCCAAGTCATCCTTCTGTTCACAGAGACAACAAACAGACAACCCAGGTGACTCAAGTGCACAAAATATCTGCATAAAATATATGTTCCAGTCTTTCTATGCCATGCAAGCTTTAAAGCTGCAGTATCTGGGAAGGGCTGAGGGAAACCCTAACAGCAAAAGTACTGACATACAACAGTGCTACTGGAAAGGGGAAAAACCACGCCACAGTCAGCTGGTTTATGAAATACAGTCCAGGATGTTTGTTCCTGCCTACAGGCCCACTGCTCATTGACAGTGGTCAGGCAATGCAAGCATTTGTCTCGTGCCAAATGTACCCAGGCCAGGAGAGCCGAGCAGGAGGCTCAGCTGTGCTGACTGGGAACAGAACACAGCGAGCCCTGGGCAGGTGTGAGCTGGACCCCCAGCACAGCCCAGGCTCCTGCAGCCGCAGCCCCGAGCCGCACACACTCACGGGCTGCACCAGCACGTTGTTCTTGCCGTAGAGGAGGTGAGTGCGGGAGTTCTGGTGCAGGGACTCCACGTACTCCCGCGCAGAGGCAGCAAAGCGATCTTCGGCCGCGCTGCCGCTCGAGTGGCGCTTCCGGATCTGCAAAACACAGGACACAGGGCACAGGGCAGGGCACCTCGGCCTCCAGAGACTGCAGCTCCTGTGCAGACAGGGGCCTGGGCACAGAAATCACCTGCACTCTTAGCTCTGAATTTATTGTGAGCTACCTGGTCAGATCACAACTGTCAAAAGCCAAACTGTCAAAAGAATTTAGTGCTGGATCTCACACTTTGCTGCATTCAGATAAAGAGGACGCTGTGGCCCAAATGGATTTCTGATGTGTGACAAAGCTCCGTTACAGAAGAGAGAAGAAAGGCTGTTCCAGATTCAGGCATGTCCCTCATGGGGCTGTCTCAGCAGCAGCCCGTCCCTGGCTCAGGAACAGGCCCAGAGTAAATACCTACTCCCAGGGCTGGGCGCTTGCAGGGCGAGTCCTGGCGGCCGTGGGCGCCGTGGATGCGGTGCCGCTGCACCAGCTCGTCGGCAGAGGGGTCTGTCCAGTAGTGGTCAGCTGTCTTGAGCTTGGTGTACTCCAGAGCACACGGTCCAACTGGGAAAGGAGACCAAGGGAGACACCCGAGTCTGTTCAGACACAGCCAGTGCTGTCCTGCTGGCTGAGCACTGAAAGTGAGATTTCCTTCGCAAGCCAAGTGAATAATAATGGTCACTGATCCTGCGGGATCAGCCCACAATACAGACAATATTATAATAATGTATCACTCCTGTTACCTAGGGCTGTATCAGAGTATTCCCATAGGACACAGTACCCTGCCACAGCAGCATTAGCAGTTACAAACTGCCAGCAAGCATTCAGTAAAAATCCATTCCCATTCTGCTCTCTGATCCAATCAATAATTACAAATAAAACCAGATGATCAGTCTCTTCTGGTCTTGTAAGCAACAAAACATCTTCACTGCTGCTCTATTATAAATAGTGAACTACAAACAAGATATAAAATTCACCTGTAACACTGTCATAATGCAAAATGCTTTCAGAAACTATTTATTCTCTTCAGTATAAGAAGAAACTTTGCAAGAACTCACCTAGAAGGGAAGCCAGTATTGGGCCACAAACAGGATCTGCCAGTAAAGCTTCCTTTTCATAGTATTTACTAGGAATAAAAGATCAGAGCCCAGTTAAAAATATTAGTTGGTAAGAACTGTTTGAAAACTTAGGTTTAGCTACAGGTCTAACACAATGGGTCTCTGGATATGCTCATTCTATCTCATCTATTTTTCAACTGAGCTTGGAGAGGCAGGAGCTTGCCTTGTGCTCAGTGTGTTTACCCAATATATTTGATTTGGGGCTTCAGGCAGAACTGCAATATGGGAACAAACAATAGTTCTCTGCAAGCAATTTTGTCCATTTTCCACAGAGACAAAACAATCCACACATTCTTAAATATCTCTTCCATCTGTGAGGAATCATTTTGAAACACTGTGAAGAACAATCAACTACTACATTGCTCTTGGAATGACCCCAAAGTCTTGCCATTGCAGCAAGCAAAGCTGCTTTACAAAACCACATAGCCAAAAATCCAAACACCCACAGTTCTTGAATGCCACTGTCCTCTGTGGTCTGTTCACTAGATGGGGCTCAAACTCTAAAGCACCTGCTCCTCCTCCAGGACTGAACAGCTGAAGGATGTGAACATGGAGCATTTGAGCAGTAATGACACAAAAATGCATGGTAACAAGCCTTGTGAAAAGGTTTGTTTTATCCACCAAGTCAGGTTCTCAAAATCACACACCTGCAATGAAGGACCTGATCCTATGGGGAAGGCAGTGAGGTGAACATCTACAACACACAGTGATGAGCAACTGAGAGCAAACTCCCCTGATGTGTCTCCTGTGGATTATGTGGAAAAGAAATTAAAACCCCTTGTACCCGTGTATCTGCAGACACTGAGGCAGTGGACTAAAATGCTTTCATTAACTGTGTCTCTGGGACATGGCCAGCCCTCCCTCTGTCTCTTCTGCACACAGCTCATAAAATCCAAGCTGGTATTACATATCCCAGAGCAACAGTTTGCTTGAACAGCACAAAAACCTTTCTTCCATTCTCTTGCTTTTAGTGGCAAGATACATCACGAAAATAAAGCTGATGACAAGGAAAACAGTAACACAAACTTGGAAAATACTGTGAAAATAAGCTGCTTTGCCCTTAGCTCTCATCCTTGTTCAGACCCACTGGCTTTGGGTGAACAAGAATGTGTTGCCAGTGCAGAAGGGCAAGGGCACCCCTGCCAGCAAACTGCTTTTCTGGGACCACACCAATCTTTAGGGTCCCCTCCTTTCTCTTTTTATGGGAGATTGTCCTCAGAATGCCCCATTAAGTCTTCTGTGTCATGGGTTATGGGAGGGCAGGATGGGTAGGAGTTAAGAGCCACTCCTTGGCAAACCACAGCTGATGCTGGGCAGCAGGAAGCAGGAACAGAACAGAGAGGACTCATCTTTGCCTCTTAAGGAGTCCATGGAGAATACATCCAATAAAGCATTGATGCTCTTCTCTGGTTTTGCAAGAGAAGACTTTCACTTTACACAAAGTTAGATTTTTCTAAAAAGGAAACATGATTCAAAGAACCTGTTTTCACAGCCCTAAGGTTTTATGTCATTAGCTCCTCCTGTTCTAATTCTCATTTCTTTCATCTACAAAAGTCATTTTCCTCCCTGACATCATAAATTTCCAAAGGATTATTTTCAACTCATGACCTACTAGGAGATATTTCTATTCCACTAAGGTCTAGGTCCCATTAGAATATGGACACATAATATACCTGAAGTTAGATTTGTAGCTGATTTCTGGAAAGATGGATGCCTGTTAATGTTTTTGTAAGCCTGAAACACTGTCAATGATGAAAAACTAAAAATGCCCATGTAACTGGTTTTCATCTTACCAGAAGCCTGCATCACAGGAGTTTGCCAAAGACCTTTAATGAAATCCTTTGCTGCAGACACCTAAATGCATCAGTCCAACAAATCCCCATGCTTCTGCTGCTTTCCTTACCTGCAGTTATCAACAATGTACTGCACAATCTTGTCCAGCACCTTCTCAATCAAGGCTGTCCGAACCCAGATGTGCTTGATGGCCTGAGGTGTCAGGACTGGTGTTTTGCTTGTGGTTGATCCCTGCCTTTTGAGTGGTTCCTGCCCATTTGGCTGATTTTTCCTGCAAAAAGTGATAAAATAAAAGTAGTCAGAATTTGCATTGTTGGATGACAGCTCCATCACCCAGTGAAACCCCTCCTCCTGCACCAGGTAACACAGAGCAGCTGCAGGAGAAAGGTGGCACAGGGGCACAGGCCTTGGCTCTCCACACACTGCCCTGGGCTGAGGGGAACAGGAACCCTCTGAATGTCTTTTCCAAAAAACTTCCCCCTTAAAATAGAAGGTGCCTCAGTGAGGACAGAAACCCTGCCATGTTCAGGTTCTTTGCCAGCACCTGGGTTCTCTTTCAGATAGCTGCTCAGTTCCATGGAGTTACCACATTTGTGTGGGGTGGTTTGGGTGAGATCTGTAATTCCCTCTGCACTGAGAGGGTCCCAGATCCTACAGGAGGCCATGGCAGCAGCCCTACAAGCAAGGAGGACGTGTGACACCACTGACATCAGAGCCATTCATTAGTGTTTGGTTGTTTCCTAACAGGGGTTTTCTTAAGCCACAGCCCAGGAACAATCAGACTGTCAGAGCCCTTCTGTCTCATCTCATACATCCAGCAGAGTGAGCCCACCCCCTGCAGCATTTCCCAACAGTATCTTTGCTGTGCATATTTTCTACAGCACTTCAATTTTGTGGCTGTTAATAGCTGAAAAACACACAAAATTTGTCCAAGGGAAACCACAGAATTTAAGTTCATTTTCTCCTCTCTGTTAGAGGACACAGCCAGAGTTCTCTGGTGGCTAGAGGGGTGTTTGTGTGGGCTCTTAACCAGGAGAGAGGCCGATGAATTTTCAGGAGAAAACATCCTTCTTCCCAACATTTAGAACACTAAAATCAATAAAATCCCAGTCTGTATCAGTAGGCACAATTAAACATACAACATACATACAAAAAATAGGTACATATCTGTCAAAAAATACATAACAAAGTCTGATAATTACAAGTCTAATAAAGATAAATGTCAGAAAATTACACGGAAATATAAGCTATTTATAAGCTAATTTAAGTAACTGTCTATAATTGAAGACAAGCTCTCTCAGCAAAGCCCTTCTTACAGCAAATCGATCAGAGGCTAAAAGTTCTTATGAGCAAAGAGCTCTTAGGGCTCAGCAGCACCTACAAAGAGAATTAAAAATGCTCTTGTCCTGAGCTTATAGGACAAGACACTCATGCACTGTGATTCCACCTATAGAACCACATGGAAGGTTTTCATTTTGCTACTTACCACCTGCAAGAAGTCTAAGACTTTTCAGTGACCTCAAGTCCTTGACTCCAGGATTCTGTTGTGCTTAAGTCCAGTATGCACTGAACAGCTTTGCTATAACATCCTTCCCATCACTCTTCATATCCATTAATTTCACTGTTTCTCCTATGATGCCTACAAATTTGTTCCTGGTTTGGCAGCAGCATGCCAAAACAACTTTTCAGTATGCCTGTTCCTGAGTTCCTCCTTCCACCCCCTCCCTTCCCACCAACAGTCCAAGCTGGTCCACCCATACCCTGACTGTGAGCCCTCTGAAATCACCAGTCATTAATCACTTCTGTTGCTGTGTGTGGGCTGAATGTGCTCCTCTGCTGTACTGAGAAGCAGAATGAAACAGCGAAGCCCCAGCTGCCCATCTCTGTCCTTTTGCTCACTGCCAGCTTGGTCAAACACAAACACAACAGCCACAAACAAGACAAAGGCACCGTGCACACCCAGCCTGCCCCGCAGGGCCCAGCCTCACCTGCTCTCCACCTGCTGCTGCAGCTCCTGCACCTTCTTGCACACATCTGCAGCTATGGCACAGGTCTTGCCCACCTTGGTGAAGAGTGCAGCCACCTTGTCAGTGCGCAGGAAGCCGGCAGCCCTGCGCTTCAGCATGTGCAGGAGACACGCCTCCACCACACCTGGGGGAAGGGACACAGCCGTGAGTGCTGCTGCTGCTCTGCCAGCACTGCCTGCTCACTGCCACTGGGCACTGGGGGGCAAGAGCAGAGCTGGGGACACACAGACACAACTCAGAATCAGATGGGTCTAACCTGCACCTACAAGCACCTTGTGAAGTACAGACAATGGCAGCATATAAATGAACTGGAGATGGTGGCACTATATAAATGGGATAATGGCAGTTTATAAATGGGATAATGGCAGTTTATAAATGAACTGGAATCTCCCCAGGTATTTTCACCCCACGTTCCACGTGCCACACAGAACCACACTAACATGCCCTGATGGCTACCCAGGGCGTGTTAACCCAGTAAAACTCCTATCCCAGTAAAACACTGCACTGCACTATGCCAGCCTCACAAGACTGCAGCAGAAATCTATCCAGGTCTCATGTAACCTGCTGCAGGGAAAGGAAATGAGAAATACAAATTAAAAAAAAACAAAACAAATAAAAACAAAAAATTAGCCTTCCTTGTCTATCAGCTTCTGAAGTGAGACTGCAGATGACTCAGTCATACGAAGGGATGAAGGAGAACAGACCAGTTCATTCACAGGCAAGGGAAAAGACCCAGCTCTGTGTGCCAGGTGTGTGCCAGGGCAGGGCAGCCTTCACAGGGCTCTGAGTGCAGCACTGAGCAGGGCTCTCCTGTGCTGGGTGGCAGCAGGCAGCCCATGGGACATCACAGCTCCCCGTGCCACGTTAAACACTGCTTACAGAAACAAATGGCACTCCATCTGCTCTGACACTCGCAGCTCTTTTGGAGAGAAGGCAGCGTTTTGTTGCACTTTACAGCCAGCACTGTCAGGTGCTGAGCATTTCCTGAGGACTCCTCTCTTTAATGCAATTGAAGGCCCCTACATCTGAAAAAGACCTGTCCTCAATGTCTGGGCCCAGAAAACTAACCTGAGTGCCAGGCCAGCCTGGGGGCACACAGGAACACCTCCTGCCTGCTGAACCTGAGGAGCCCCAGCCCAGGAGCAGCCAGAGCCAGCCTGAGCTGCTGTGGGGGCAGTGGGGCAGTGCCCGGGGGCAGTGCCCGTGGCCTCAGCTCTGGCACACCCCTGTTTGCCCAGGACACGAGCCCAGCACACACACAAAGCAGCTGCTGCCACGCTGGTGGCTTCCAGCCAGGACAGCTGCTCGGGGGCCAGTGCCTGTCAGCACAGAAAGTGTAAAATTCCCACTTTCCAGGGCTCCAACAGGGCACAACAGCCCGTGCAGGGCACTGGTCCCTAGGAGGAGGAGCAGGACATGTGGGCACATCCCGGAGTGACCCCTCTGATCCATCAGAAACTCCCCTGCCATCCAAGCACAGCCACAGGGGCAGAGGCAGGAGCAGGAGCCCAGTGCTGAGCACATCTCTGCAGCCAGGCTGGTTCCACTGCTGGGAAGGAGCATCCCTGCAGGGAATGCCACCAGCAGGGCAGCACCATCACACTGCTGCTGTGTGTGTGTGTGCTGGGCTCCTGCCCTGTCCTGTCCCTGCAGGGAATGCCACCAGCACGGCAGCACCATCACACTGCTGCTGTGTGTGTGTGCTGGGCTCCTGTCCTGTCCTGTCCCTGCAGGGAGTGCCACAGGGGCTGGCACGGGGACAGCGAGGGTGACAGCACCAGCAGGATCCTCACAGCACGGCCCAGCTCCTGTCTAGCAACCAACAGCTCTTAACCCAGCAACTGCTTTGCTCTGTCTTTCAATTAGAAATTAAGAAAAAAAAAAAAGAAAAAAGAAAAGCAGCTTTCCGGACGCCTGGAGCAATGCAGCAATTTGATTCCAAATCTCAAATGAAGCAACCAGCCTTTAAAAATAACTGCAAAGAAGTGCATTGCTGTTGCTTAGGAAACAGGCTCTCTTCCCACCTTCACTGTTTTTTTTTATTTCTTTAAAACAATAAAATATTAATGAAACAAAATTAGTGAAAAGCACAGCAGGCACAGCTTTAATTATTAATAAATGCTGCAGCTGCCACTGAGGGCAATTTCCCCAGTGACTGTCCCTAGAGCCCCAATATTTAATTATTCCATTGTGACATTTCTCCTCACAAGAAATTGGGTAAGATCAATCCCCAGCTGCCTATAATACATGTAGGGGTCATTTATGAGGAATTTGCTGCAGGATTGCCTCACACTGTATTTTCCACAGGACAAGAGATTAATGCATGTCCAGTTCTATGACAGCACTGGCTGTCAGTACTCTTCTCTCCAGGCTCCTTTCTACAAGAATTGTTCCAGAACAGCTGGAATACATTCACATCTGATTTGATCTGAATTTGTTTGTACTGAATGTGCTGAATACACCGTGGCTTTTATCCAGTTAAACTACACAACATCCAAGCCCATCCTGCACCATAGATGCCATCCCATTCCAGCCCAGGGGACCGTGTGGATGCCAGCCAGGTGGGGCAGGACAGCAGGAAGGGACCCCTCCCATGCACACAGCTCTGCAGGGAGGGAGCAGCTCCTGGCAGAGCCCCCAGGGCTTTCCTTTGGCTCTGTGTCCCAGGCGGGCACTGATCCCTCTGCCAGCATCGCCCACGGCCAAGCTCAGCCAGGAAGGAAACACGGCCTGAGCAAACTGGCACAAGAGTCACCCGGAGCTGCAGAACCTTCTAAAGGACAGGACAGCACCCTGGCCACGGTGCTTTTTGATAAACCAGAACCAGGTGATGCCTGGGAATCACAAACTGCACAGCTCAGACTGCCCAAAGAGACAACACAATTTCAGGGATAATAATACACGAACCTTTGGGACAGGGAAATGGGGTTATTTGCCCATTTCTCAGAAAATTAACCATTTTTCCCTTTTTGGAATCTGACACTCTAAGAAGACCTAAAAATAGATTATTTAGTTGTTTCTAGAGAAACTGGTAACATCAGAAAAGCATCCCTGGGTGGTTCTGTGTACACACAGGTAGGTTATACACATGTACAGATGCTTCTGGCGACAGGTATGTCTGCACACAGGTAAGTAAATACTGCACAGCCCAGTGTGATCCCCAGCCTGCCCACTGTCACTGTACCTACAACAAACACAAACAAAAACTGACCCGAGAAAAAGGCAGCAACTCATCACACACAGAGTGCAAGAGCAGCTCTGCACGGGGAGTAAATCTGCACAGCTCAGGTAACTCCCTTGTATGGTTCAGTTAACAGCAGCCATCTAAAAATTCATTAACTCCAGACAGTTTTGAGGAACATTCTCTGCAGTGTTCACTGCTGAATTTAATTAAGTGCAGATATATTATTGATTTACAGTTCAAATAAACACAGTGCCCACCGAGCTTCAGAAAATGTCACTTTTTTAATGATTTCACCACTGCTACTTCGTCCAGGGTCAGGTGAACAAGTTTGGTTTTGTCCTTTCTTGCCTCTATGAAAATTCTGCCATGACTTAATGCTGTGAAATGAGAGTTTTGGGGCTGGAAGGGTGGTGAGCAGAGGAAAGAAGGCCTGTGGAAGGATTATTTATGGGGTGTACTTAGCAGATGAGATTTTCCTTAGACAGGAAGAAATACTGCAGCTAAATACCTTGTTTTCATGGAAACTGTGCACAGGGAATTGAATCCATGAGGCTGAAGAAATTAAAAACAAGTGAAAAGAGGAGGATGATCAAGAAGCCATCAGCTGCTCAGGCTCTCCAGCCTGCCATGTCACTGGTACCTGAGTGGCAGCTGGCAGCCAAGGGCTGCACAGGACACACCCAAACCTGCTCCCCTGCCCCTGTGCCCCTGCTTGTGTTGGGCTGTGCCACAGAACATCCTATGTTCCATAATTCCCTAGAAAATTTTTTTAAAAGTATCCAAATGGACAATTCCCAGTTCTAAAGTGGCTGCTAAACTTCAGGGCTGAAATTTGGTGACTGCTCCTCTTTAAAATCATGATCATTGAGCTTCAAGGATCTCAGCAACCTTTACAAAACATAAGTGTTTTAATTAAACTCTGTTAAGGGTAAATCAAAGTTACTGAAGTTACTCTAAATATTAAAAATGATCCAATTTGACGGCCCAGGATCAAAGCAAAATGTTTAGCAGAGTTCACTAAAAAGCACAAGAGATTTTATTTCACTTCTCAAGCTAAAAACACATGTAGTTCAAAAACTCTTTCAATTTCACAGCAGAGCTAATATTCACTCTGTTTTTTTCCTCCCCACTACAGCATACCACTCATTAATTTAAGCATCATCTTTGGAGCAAAATCAAAAACCTTCTAAATGTGCATGAAAAAATATTTGCCTCCCCCCAGTTATGATCATCTCTGGTACACTCTCTGGGCTAATGTGTTTATCAAGTGAGGTGGAATCTCTGTAAACTATTTTTTAAGCATTATTCATCATTGAAAATGTTTGTTTCCCAAATAGGAGCAGTAATACAGGGAGACCTGTGTTTTGTTTGTGAGAGATCTGCATTTCCATAGCAGATTATCTTCATTTTTTTTTAAATATCAATGCCATGGGTAGAAAGCCAAAGGAATTAAGATGATAAACTGTCAGGTTGGGCAATGGTTATTTACATCTCTTTCTACAGAAGCTACATTTCTGTGAGCTAAGAAAAAAAGAGACAAAACTGAATTCTTTGTTTTCTGTCAAATCTGAATATGGTGCTATTTAGAAGCCCCAAGGCAATCAGTTAAAAAACCCCAAAGCATCAGACATCTCTTCCTAATGGAACTGGAATGCTCTCACTGCAGCTGAAAATGATGGGATTTCTTTCAAACACAATTCACTTTGTGCACAATGGGATAAGAAGTCCTCCAAAGCCCAGTGAAGGAAATGGCCTCAGAGCTAAGCCCACTGCTGTGGTTAAGCCTGGGGTCATGAGACTAAACCTGCACTGCCAGGCACTCCTGCAGCTCAGACACCAGCCCATCCCAAAGGGTATCTGGGCTCCAGGAGTCACCAGCCATATTCATGTCCCAAGGATTCCTGGTTTTCCACTGCCAGCATGGATGGAAACTCATCCATGACCTCAGCTGGAGCTCTCTGATTGTGCTCCTACAGACGTGCAAGGCCCTAAAATTTCAGACCTTACCAGATCTCAGCTCTGTGGCTCCAGAAAATCCAACCACAAAGGAGAGAACCCAGCCACACAGGAGAAAATCCAGCCACACAGGAGAAAATCCAGCCACACAGGAGAGAACCCAGCCACACAAGTGCTCTCCTCCGGCCTCCTCCAGAATGAGTGGAGCACTCATCTGCCTTAGGAAGCTGGGCAGTAACTGCTGAAGTGTTCCATAGAAAGCCCAATCTCAGTAAGTGTTTAGCACATTCATTAATGACAATCCTGTCATACACTGCATTGGCTCTAAACTGTGAAGAGGATCCAAGAGCCACTCTGATTCTCAGAACACACCAGTCCTTTTGCTGTGAACAGATACTCAGTGACACAGAGCTAGTTCAAATAACAGTCTCCTCTTTTTTTTTTTTGAAGAAGGAAGCATCTTACACTGATGATTATCCAAGGCTAGATGCCCCAGGGCTCAGTGAAAGGAAGCTGCAATGGATGGATACAGGGCCCACACATCAGATCTGAGTGTGGAATTACAGCCTGAAGCACAGACATCTCAGAAGCACTTGTGGGTGATAGCTCTCCTTGCTCTGTTTCTGAGAACAATAAATGCTCATGCAGTCCTGATGTGCACAGACACTGCAGGAGCTTGAGAGCAGAAGCACCAGCATAAGACCCAAATGCCAGCTCAGGAGAGCTTCACAAAAGCAGCCATGGAGTCAGGCTCTGAGCTGCCACAGCCTGGCACGAGTCAAGGCTGTATTTGAGTGTCTCTGAGTGAAGCAAACACAGGGAAGCTGAGAGAGCTGCTGTACAGAGCACACAAGAGAAACTGCTCACAGAAGAAGTGGTAACACTCCCCTGCCACCTGGCACGTCGTGCTTCCAGACCTGGAAGTCACCCCCACAGGAGGAGGAGGGAGCCTGCAGAGCTGGCCAAGGGCACTCACAGCACGGCATGGCTGTGTCTGTGCATGGACATCCTCAGGAACCACTTCCAGAACCACCAAAGGTTCCCAGGCTGCTCAGCTTTCAGAGGACTGGACTGGCAGCAGGGCACGCTCAGGCAAGTGTCCCTTCTCCCTGGGCTGGCAGATGTCCCCTGAAAGGCCCCAGGCCACCTCTCTGATGTATTATTCACACAGAGAAAGCACCAAGGACTGCTTACTAATGGGAATTCATTATCTCCCAAGCTCCCCCGGGCAGGCACCACAGCCTTCTTTTGTTTGAAGGGCTGCACACATGATGAAGAGTCACAGATGCCATACAAACACCTCCAGTTAATATCCAGATCCAGCTCTGCACTCAAACCCTGTCACCTTTCCCCCTGCATGACTGGACACATCGTGACATGGCTTTGTTCTTCTTTTGTTAAGATCTGTGTTATTTAAACACAGCATTACCCAGGGAAAAAAAACAGTCATTTTCATCAGTTAATAAGAGAAGAAAAGCAATATGCATAGTGGGGATGGAAAAAGAAAAAGTTGAGGTTAATGCAGCTAAATCAACAGGACTGGCTCATCCCCAGCCAAGCTTCCTCAGCTCCTCCAGGAGAGGCTCTCTGCTCCTCCTCTCTGCACCTGAACTGCAGGGTCTGCAGCAAACAGCCTCAACACATCTATCAGGATAGAGCAGTAATGTAACTCCCAGCAAATTTTCACCTTGGGTTCAAAAGAGGAAAAGCATTTCTGGTCTGTAAGTCTGGTCCAGACACGGTTTTAGAACAGATTTGGAAGGCAAAAATTATTCAACGACACTGAAGAAAAGGAAAAACAAATACTTCCAATTGCCTCTGAAGTGAAGGAGTGTAACCAACACAGGTGATAAATTAAATATTAGTAATTGAAGATGGGAAGAAATAGCACATGACAAGTATCCAAAGTATACTAAAAAAGCTACAAAGCATCAAGAAAACGAAAAGAAGATGGCAATTTTTTTGTTTTCTTTGATAGAAGAGCCTCAATGTCTTACAGGATTTGAGTTCAGATGCAGGAACAGGAAAGGAGCTGGTGATGCCCCTGCCATAAACCCAGCTCAGGTGCATCCCCCAGGAGCAGCAGTGGAATCCCCCAGTGGAACCCCTCACATCCCAAGGGACACGTGCAATGCCATCCTCAAGGTTTACCAGAAGCCCCAAGCACAACATTAAATACCATTCTGCAGCTCAAATCAGAACTGGCCTTTTCACTTCAGCCACAATGGGATTCTGCAGATTTTAATTAATGGGTTTAATTACTGGTAGCAGGTTTATTATTCAGGCCAAAAAAAGCTTTTCAGTGCAGTTCATCTCTTTCTTAATTTGAACTGAAATCTCAATGAAAAGCTAAATTCTGCATGTTTAACAGTGCCCAAGTTACTATTTTTACTCATGTTTACTACTAACCTTTCCCCAAAACACAGTAAGTATATTCCCTCTGCCAAGCTGGCATGCTGGATTTACACCTTAGCAACATATATTTTGATTGTGACACACACCAATTCTCCATAACCCACCTGAATTCCACAGCGATTAATTTATAGCATGGGGAATTCAGGATTATTTCATTTAATACACTCAAAATATTATTCAAAGAGAACAAACTACTGAGACTCATTTCAAAGTAGATATTGAAAATGTAGAGATCATTTGGGTAATGTCTGAGGCATTCATGAATAAACCCTGCAGTATGAAGCTGACTTAAACAAGTTTTTTAATTGCTTCAAGCAGCACGTTACTGTCAGATGAAGATGGGAAGCCACAAGGAAAAGGCTTAGCAAACTGCAGGCAGCTTTTGGACAAACACTGCAGGTGTAATGGGCTGAACTGGAAACCCTGTAGATACACTTCAGGTAGCTGCAGAAACAGAGATATGATAAATGTTCCTTTGTCTTCCCCCTGTCCCTGAGAATGGGAGAAGGGCAGGGGCTGGTGTTGTGGGAGAGCAGCTCCAGGCACTGGGCAGGAGGGTGCAGGAGCAGAGCCCTGGCCCTGCTGCACAGAGCTCAGAGCCCCACGTCACTGCTGTTCCCAAGGAAACCTCTCACACAGCCCAGGCTGCCACAGCCACAGCCAGCTCTGGCCACGGAGGATGCTCCAAAAACCTGCAGGGCTGCACTGTCCCCTGAAGGGCCACAGCACAGCACAGGAACTCGCTCCACAGCAACCCACAGCCCAAAGGAATTCAGAGTTTTGTCCCACAAGGGCACACATCAGCCACAGGCCAAACGGAGCTGCTGTGGCTCTGACCCCCAGAGCCAGATGTCCCAGAAATCAGAGGGGGTGATGAAGCCCCTGGAATGTAACTGAGGTTGGTTATATGCTGGGCTGGGAACAAATACACAATGTTCTGCACTCACTGCTTCTCCACAAGGATGGGAACCTGGGCACTGCTTTGCCTCTCCCAGAGCAGCCAGGCAGACACCACAGACTGGAGCAGAGTCCTTTGGTGACAAACCCCTCCTGCTGGATGGGCACAGCTGACCTGCACAGAGGCACCACTCCTCCAGGCCAGCAAGGCTGGCACAGAGCTGGAGCATTTCCTCCAGGACAAGGGGCACATGCCATTTAATTGGCACCTTCAGCCATCTAGGACCTCGGGCAGCTATGAACTGTTCAGCCACTGATGCAGAGTGACCCTGAAATCAACCACCATGTATTTAAGAGACTCTTGCTAAACTCAGCCTAGCAGGAGAGTAAAATGATTCACAAGAATTCTATATTTGTAACGAAGATTCACCAAAAATGACTCATGTACCGAACCAATCTAATTTTAAATAGAAGGGAAAAACCTCTTGAAGAGTCACATGAAACTGGAGTGGGGGAGAGAAGAGAATTGCACACACAAGAGAGCAGCAGCCAGGAGCTGTTAGCCAAATCTGCTGGAAGGGATTTCTCCATTCAATCAGCCAAAGTAAAAACAGAACATTCAGCTTCACCTTCTTCTGGTTTAGAGTTCATCAAGGCCTCAGTTCAAAGCAGCAGCAGGCTGGAGTCCTGCCTTAGGTAGGATTGCTGGGCAATAATGAGGCAGCTCAGTGCAGAGTTATTAGTTCTTCAGATTATGAAGAATTCAGAACATAAAACCAGCTGGAACCACAGTAGGAGGATGACAGAAACATGAAGACTTTAAAGCATTCCTAATTTTGGCCAAGCAGAGTCTAACAGAAATAGCTGCCACTCCACTCCCCATTACAGCAACAATGCAGCACAGCTTCCAGGACAGGATTCCAGGAACAGAGAGCAGGCAGAGCACACTGGGAGCTCCCTGGAACACACAGCCAGCCTGCAGCAAGGCCACCTGTCCTCCTGCCTGGGTACTCAGACAATGACGTTTTAGTGAGAGTTACTTTACGATTTGTAATGTAAACACACATGTAACAAATACAGAGGTGAAATGGGCCTGAACACTATGATTTCTAGTATCTAAATCCCTGCATTTACCTCTGAGAGCAGAGAAAAGAAATGTCTAGAGGAAAAGTAAGGTTAGGCAGAGCTAGCTCTTGCACATGACATTTACCACATAAGGCGATGATGTGACTGCTGTCTTCATGTACAAATTTCCGGGTGACAGCTTCTTCCATGATCTGCTTCACCTAAAATGAACAGAGAGAAATGATTGTATGATCCCCACAAAAGCAGCACTGCACTTGGGAGCTGCAGTTTCAACCACTGCTTGTCCCTTCCCCCTCACCAACAGACTAACAACTCATCACATCCCATTTTGCAGGGAAGAATGGATTTAAGGAGGGGAAGCACAAACAAACCTGTGGGGCTTGTCGTGGCATGAGGAAACCTCTGGCAGAACAAGGACAGGTCTGTTTGGGCTGGGCCCCCATAAAAGGCAGATTTCAGCGTGCCTACAGTGCCCTCCAAAGAACTTCTCCAGCACAAGCTCCAAAGAGCTGTGAAAGAGTTTTTATATGATTCATCCTTGGCCTTCACACAGCCTCTTCTGCTCATGGAGCCAAACTGTGCTGCTACCTCCCATTTCCACTTGTGCCATTCTGCTCTATTCCAAGCACAAAGCATCCCTGAGTGACACAGGCACACATTCCCTGAGAGGTTCAGGGCCACCTTCCCCCTGCCCGGGAAGCATGCCACATGCCACAGCAATTAAAGTTATGCCTTCGAAGCTCTCTTGCACCAGTGTACAAAATTATTACAGTACCGAGAGAGAAGGCAGTGCCTTCAGTTTTCACTTCAAGACACAATTTAACAACTGTAGCAAATAAAATTACATTTATCACACTTTTTAATGATTTAAAACAAAGTTGCTTTCCAGTTTCAGGGCTCAAGATGTGTCAAGCTCCAGAGGGAAATCATTGCAAATTACTGACTTCCAAAAATTAAAAAAGAAACAGACAATTCTTACAATGAAGCTCTTGGTAAGTAGCTGTAGTCACTCTCCATTCATTCAGTGATTCCTCCCAAATGTCCCCAATGGCTTCCTCAGCCTGACACCACAGGAAACTTCATTGGTTTCCAACTCATCACCAACTCATTTATCAGACACTCATTTCCTGCTGTCCGTGGAGAGCTTGCTCTCTTCCATATACAAATCAACATCATTTTTGACTTCTCTCATTTGTGAGCTACAATTGCAGGGTTATGACACTCTGACTAAACCTATGCCAATTCACTTTCAATATATGAAAGCAAGTGCTACCATGGCAGAACACTTAACCAGACACTCTCTTCTCCCAACATTTAGAGCTCCCCGGGTATCACTTGATGGCACTTACAGGTCCCAAGGTTTTGAGCTTTCCTACCCAGTGCTGGAGCAGGAGAAGCTGCAGGTGCAGTGCTCCATGCACAGCTGGGCTCTGCAGCTGCCTGTGGAGGTGCCTTCTCCAGTTTGGAGGGCTTCCTCCTCCAGCAAGACCATCTGCCAGACCAATTCTGGATGCTGTAATTAAACCTCTCCTCCCCCAGCAATCATCCTGGGGCCTCTGTGCCCACTCCTACACCCCCAGCCCGGCTGGCAGCAGCCTGCAGCTCTGGTACTTGCTGCACGAGCCTTTCAACACATGGCATTTGCCTCACTTCAAATTCTGGATCAAGTGGATCCTCTAGAATTTGTGCTCCTTATCAAACAGGAGCCCTCTGAGGTGCAAATAAAAGATTGGAGGAGAAAAAGCAAACATGTAAGAGGCTCTGACAGTAGAACAAAGTGTTTTATAGCTGAGGGCTTCAAAACAAGTCTTTTGCACTTTATAAAACCTGGCTCCTGCTCACACCTGAGGCCTGACAACATCACCTTGGAGCCAGGCAATTTGTTTCTTTCCTGTGGCATTGCTGACGTGCTGTTTGAACTTAGGACCTCCCAGTGAAGCAGCTGAAGGTGGAGGAGAAAGAGGCTGTCAAGGAAGAAGCAGAGGTGTGAGGAGGCCTCGTGAACAGGCCCTCACATCTGGATTATCCTGTGCACTCAGCAATCCCTTTGGCACAGTTTTATTCACTGAAGGAAAGGGCTGATGTGCTGCTGGCATGAAAACAGAGAGTCTGCCCTGGTGCAGCACAGAGTAACCACGCTGGAGTCACAGCAGCCTGTGCACATGTAACTGCAGGTCACAGACATGACTCCAGGACTACAGACCATGAAATCACTCCATTCAGGAGCACAGACCATGAAATCAGTCCCAGCATCCCAGAGAACAGTAACTGGAATTCAAATCTAGTTGAACACGGAGGAAGAAGAGTAATTTCAAGGAGCAAAAGCTCAAGTGCTCAGCAACCAATTCATTGCTAGCACACATTTGCCAGGTACACCCTAATCAGCTCAGTAAACAAAAATTTTAAGTGTATAAAAACTGATAAAGAAAAGGGTTTCAGATTCAATAATCAACCCTACTTTTCTAGAGCAGCACCATCCTGTGCTCTCAGGAGACTTCAAACCCCAGACTTTAGAGCTAAGGACACAGAGCAGGCACTCTGTGTGTGTGTTCCCCAGATGCCAAGCAAGCTCCGTGCATTTTCTGGAGAGTGACTGAATGTTATTAGAAAATATTTTTAAGGCATAGACAGGATATGAGAAGATTCAAAAGCTGGAATGCAGTGTTCTTCAATCCCACGTCATCCCTCACTGCCACGTAATTCATGGATGCTCCAGGCAAGTGTTTCTGATCAAATGGAACACAAGCTTTTTTTTTTTGCTTGTTTCCTTTATTCCCTTGCAATACTGCAAAGCTCTTCATAGGGAATTCTGCTGCTCTGTCTCTGTTCTTGGGAGGCACTTGACAATGGAGCTTTTTGAGCACAAGCCTCCACACACACCCACTAGCAGCTACCAGCAGACCTGACCAAAGTGTAAATTAATCTCATTAACAGAAACATCACCACCTGCCCCCACAGCCACCCATCGACCCCCACAGGGCAGGAATCAGCCAGCCTAGCCCTGTGTCTGTGCAAGGGATGGGGGCTGCTCCCAGAGCCTCTTCCAATGGATCACTGCTCTCACTTTGTCCCACATCCTACAAGGGCCAAAACTCTCAGAGGCAAACACCAAACACACATCATAATCACGTTTCACTCAAGAAATACGCAAGAGAAATGTCTTCATGTTTAATTTTTTAAAGTTTTATTATAAGGAAACTTTAAAAATGGTAAAGAAGAATGCTCATAACATACCAAAATAACCAGGAACACAGGTAAAGCCTACAGCATTTTTTCCTCAAAGGAGAAAAACGAATGTCCAGCATCCATGTCTTCTTTAGTCTGTGCAGCTACTGCTCACCTCCTTTATTGACAGCTCCTGCTGCACGGACTCCTTGCTCATGAGCAAAGACTGGCAGTGTAATAAAAGCTGTTCAATAACTATTGCACTTCTGCTCAGAAGTCCTTACATTTCAGCTGCAAGTTGAGCAATTGAGTTTCTGAAGTGCTCTGAAATCGTTCAGGGTAGAACTGCTAAGGTTATTGTTATCCTGTTTGTTTCACAGCTAGAAAGTACTGTTTAAATCCAGAAATGGCAAAACCCTCCATTTCAGGAGGCAAAAGGAAATGGCCAGAGAAAAAAGCCTGTTTTATGAGCCTGCTTGTCACAACAGATTTTCCTGCAGAGAGAGATAAATGCTTGAAACGTGAACTTCCAAGCGGCCTCAGCATGAATCCCAGCAGTTACATTTTCTAAGCACATTACATATCTTCCTTTCTGTGAGAGCCAACAAAATACATTCCCTACCAATGGGAACTGAAAGTCCATCTGAGCAAAAGCAAGTAGCATTAAATTTCCCAAAGGAAAAATACAAAAGTTTTAACTGAGAGATTGAGGCAAAAGAAACTAAGCACTTTGCACCAAGTGACTTTGGAGATGACTGTTCTCTACTTTGCAAACTGAATTTTAACAGGCTTGGTGGAACATCCCACAAAAAGAATCTGCTGCCTATAAACTCCTTTGGTTATTGAGGTTTTGGGAAAATAATCCAACAGGAAACAGAGTCTGGGTTTAAAGGACAAGGGAAGGGGACCAGGGCTCTGAGAACAGACACGGACATGGAGTCAGGTTTTCCCAGCAAGCAGGCAGAAGTGGCTGTGTGAAGTCACACATGATAAAAAATGAGGTTGAAAATTCTATTGGAGAAAGTTAATTACAGTCATTAAGGGCAGCATCATCTGGTGGGTGGTTACTAGTGGCTTGTGTTCAATTCCTGCCTCTGTCAATTGATTATTGAAGACAAATCAAATCTCCATCTCAGTGTCTCCAACTGCCTCCTGAGCCATTTTCTTACTGTGAGCACAGACAAGGGCCCTTCCACAGCTCTGTGAGGGCACAGTGAGGGGTGTTACCTCAACCTGCTTTTAATCAACAGTGGCTCTCACGGCCACTTTAGGCTGGAAAGCTCCGGCCAACCCCTAAAAAGCCAAGCCACTGTAAGTACTCTAGAAGAGCACTGGTGAGGATCTGGAGAAGGAAAAAACAAATCAGAGACAAAACAAAAATGCAGATGACACAGAAGGTACAAATAATACTTTGAAGAATTATTCAAGTAATTTAAAAACCAGAATCCAATTAAAAACATTTTAGAGACTTTAAAAACAAATTAGCCTCAGATTTTTTAATTACCCACCACTACTTCTCCTCAGCTTGAGCTGGCTTAGATCATGAAAATCCATTTCACTTTCCATCTCATGCATTAGCACAAGATTGCAACGTTCACACTTGGAAAACATCTATCAGATTTATTTATATATTCAAGCGTTACTCAGGAGAGCAAGCGCACCCACTTTTAAATGAAGCCTCGCACTTTGAGCCTGAGCTGCAAGGTTTTAGTTCAAGCAGAGATTTCTAATGGAAGTGGCAGGTTCGTGGCAGCGTTCAGCAGGTAGCACCTGCCCAGAGCCAGCTGCTGGCTGGGTCATCCCGGGACACGGTGCTGCTGCTCCCCATACAGAGTGTCCTTGACGTGTCTGTCCCTGCTCTGCCCCTGCCACACTCCCCACGCTGACTGCAGCCCCTCGTATGTTCTGACTCCAGCATTAACGAGTACCAGCACATGGGAGTCAGGCTCAGGAACCTTGGCCACAGCAACAATTTTTCATCTGAACTTTGAGGGCTCCTGCTGCTTCCCCAGCAGTGAACTGGGGAGGGGAAGGAGCAGGAGGACAGGTACCTGTTTAAAATCCTCCTTACTGCTGTGATGGATAAGCATTACATCTTCACTGCTGTGTAACAACCGGCAGCTTCAGGCAGCTCACCACAGCCAGTGCCAAACAACACAAAATACCATAGCTGGGTATGTGGAGAGGCGGCTGCAGGGAGCCCACCTGGAACACGCTCCAGAGGTGCCCAAGGTCCAGATGTGCACAGCACAGGCACCTCCTCCCACCTCGGCAGGAGCCTTGCTCTGCGGCAGGAGCTGCTCCAGGAGCGCGATGCCATCGCAGCGAGCACCCGTCCGTCCTGCCGAGCACCTCCGGCCGGGCAAGGAGCACCCGGGGAGCACCTCCCTGCAGCCCAGGAGCACCGCCCGCAGGTACCGGGCACCCGGGGAGCACCTCCCTGCAGCCCAGGAGCACCGCCCGCAGGTACCGGGCACCCGGGGAGCACCTCCCTGCAGCCCAGGAGCACCGCCCGCAGGTACCGGGCACCTGGGGAGCACCTCCCTGCAGCCCAGGAGCACCGTGCGAGCACGAAGTGCCACCAGCCAAAAGGCGAGTGTGACCAAACACCTCCGCTCAGGTGCGGGGTTGGGCTCTTTATGCACACACGGCTCTGATTGCCCCAGCCCGGGAATGTCACACAGGTGTGTGCAGGAACAGACACCCAAATTAACCCTTCCCAGGGCACAGGTGCCAGGACTCTGGCACCAGGCAGCCAGCTCGGCTCATGCACAGACACCTCAGGAATACCTTTCTTATTCCCGATTTCTCCCCCTTCTCCCCTAAAGCTTACAGTTATGGAAAAAGTCATAAAAAAACGAGTACAACGGGGAACACAAGCCCCGGGAAAGGGAGCGGGAGCCGATGTCAGCTCCTGCCGTAGCAGCAGCCCCGCGAGCGGCATCCCCGCTCCAGGTGCGCCCGGGAGAAACGGAGCGCCGGGGCTGTCCGGGAGCAGCATCGCCCTCCAGCCCCGCCGGGACACACCGCGTCCTGAGGCGGGCAGACCCCGCTCCCCGCCGGGGCAGACCCCGCTCCCCGCCGGGCCTCAGGGCGTTCCCCACGCGGCTCTCGGTCCGACCCGCGGCCCGGGGATGGACCCCGGAGCGCGGGGCTCTGTCCTCCGCACAGCCCCAGGCCCTCACTCCGCCCTCACCTCCTTCTTCACGTTCCACAGCAGCCTGTCCTTCACGGCGTCCGCCGAGCAGCTCATGTTGGCGGGCCCGGGGCGCTCACAGCTCCCGACCCGGGCCCGCCGCCATCTTCACCGCGGCGTGACGTCAGCGGGCGGGGCGGGGACACCGCCCGGCCACGGGGGGGCGCTGTGCGCGGGCAGAGGAGCGCGCGGAGCCCGGGGCGGGAGCGGGACGGGGAACAGGGACAGAGGGACAGAGATAGAGGGCACAGAGGGGACAGGGACAGAGGGGACAAAGGGACAGAGGGGACAGAGGGACAGGGACAGAGGGACAGAGGGGACAGAGGGACAGAGATAGAGGGCATAGAGGGGACAGAGACAGAGGGGACAAAGGCACAGGGACAGAGGGAACAGAGGGATGGGGACACAAAGGGACAGGGGGTACAGGGACATGGGGACAGGGACAAAGAGTGGGACAACGGCCCGAGGGACATGGGGACACAGATCCAGTGGTCTGGGGGGACAGCAGGACACGGATCTCCCACTCCACTGCTGGTCCCAGTCCGGGAGCTCCAGCCCCAAATCCTCGGTGGGGATCACAACAACACAGAACAAAAGGTCCAGAGACCAGCACCACCAATAACAAGTTATGATGCTGGAGAAAAAAATCACAGAAGACAAAATATAACACTTTATTAAAAATTAGTGTTCTATTTCCATTTAATGCACTGGTGAAACACTTTAATCAACAGATGATTGATTAATTACTGCATTAACTAGGTATTTTGTCTGTAAAACTGACCCTTAAAAGTTAGACATGAAAATAAAACAAATCTCTAAGATTTGAATCTCTAAGAAAATAACTTGATCACAGAATATCAGTTTAAACAAGATCAGCAATCATATTTGCTATCCTCTGGATATAAAATACCATAGAAATCCAAAAGAATCCTTTACTCTCAATAAACAAACTAAGTGTCAGCCATCCTGTGAGGTAGGGGAGGGACCGTTCCATTGGATGAGAAGTGGCAGCCACACAGAAAACAGAGCCTGCCGTGTGTCCCTGAGTGAGGGACAGAGCTGGAGCAGGACCCACCTGCCAGGCACACCTGAGCTCTCCACAGCACAGGGGGAAGTGGCTGTGAGCACTGAATGTAGGGATTGTCACAGAACACAACCTGATTGTGTAAGGCAGGGGCTGCTGGGCAGACCCATCCAGAATTGCCTGGAGAGAATTCTGTCTGGAAATGAGAAACCTCGAGAAGAACAAGACCAAGCCCACAGTAAGCAATGCCCATTCAAACACAGCTCTCGGTGACAGCACAACCCCTCCAACACCCTCCCTGTCCATCACGGATTTTCCATTTTATCCAAGAAGTGCAGAAGATGGAAGTCTCTGGAGTGGAACATTTCAGCAGGGTAAATGTCTCCTTTTGCTCAAAAAGCAAAATGTCAAGGTGAAGGTTAAGCAGGGCCAGCTGTCTCGGAGCTGAGCCCCGCAGAGCTCTCTGCTCTGACACTCTTGGCTCACTCACACCCATCCTAGGGAGCTCCTGCCCCGCAGGCACTGTCACACAGCAGCTCCCTCCTGCACAGGGACCCGGCCCTGGGACTCCCTCTGGGAAACACCCGGGGCCCTTTGGCACAGGGCTGGGCAGGGAAAGGCTCCCATTCACCCCCTCCTCTGCCCAGGCAGTGCCCGAGTGCACAAAGGTTTGTAAATCGAGGAGGGAAGAGGACAGGAGCGCTGTAAGAATGACAGCTAATGTAGCTACAGTTCACACCCCGTAAGAGGGCAAAGAGGCTCTTTTTTTCTCCCAAAGGCTACTCCAAATTCCCGGGCACATCCTTAATGCAATCACTGGTGATGGCCAGTACAAGTCTCAACTTGCAGACAAATGCATATAATTAGAACCATGTATTCTTTTAATCTGTGCTTAATTTGAGTTTAATCTGAGCAGAGAGGATCCTAGGAGAGTTCACTGTAAACCCACCAATGCTGCCTTTAAACTGCATCATCCTGCTCACTGCTGCTGCTTCTGCACTACACCAGGCTGTAAACTCATGTTCTAGAACGTCTGGAACATTCCTGTCACAGTAATTTATAGCCCTCAATTATGTAAGAGCTGATGAAGGTGAGAATACAAAGCACGTGTTACATCACAACTTCAGCACTCAAAATGCTCAGACCCTGGTGGGACAGAGGTTGGACAACCCCAGGGCAGGATTTTGGGGCAGGGGAGATCCAGTGACAGCCCAAGGAGCAGGTCCAGACAAACAGACTCAGGAGGAACTGCAGTGAAATTAAAAGGATATCTGCACGTATTTTAAACGTGTTCATAACTGCTGACAGTTCTTACTGACACTCCACATTCCACAAACACCAGGAAGATCCTTTCCACTTGGTAAAAAACTCTCACAACCAAACTGTTTACTTCCCAGGTTAATTAATCTATATTCAAATCAATTAATTTTTAATTAATACCACTTGTTGGCTGTGGGAAATACGGAAAGGAAACTAAACCAAAACACCAGCTTTTCTATGCTTCTTATAGTGTAATAATTCACAAGTTGGATCCATTTCATTAATGAATCCTGTGAGTACAGAAAGCCTCTGGAGTAGCACATGAATCTGACATTCTCTTTCACACACTCATTCCCATACCTGTCCTCCCCAAAAAAATAAATGCAAATATGACATTTTTCTGCTTATAACTTCATTTAAATGCAGTTTTGCAAGGCTATCAGCATCACTTACTCTGTTAACATTCACTATGATAGTAACAAGAAAAAAAATATAAATTTGCCAAGAAACAGAAGTGCCACGTGTGTTTTCTAAATGGCATCAGCCTCTGTTACAAGACAGAAAAAGCACAAGATAATAACTTGAAGCTATTAAATGCAGCACAAAGACCCCATCACTGCAGCCTCTGCTGGTGCCTTCAAATTAAATAGCATCAGTGGAGGGAAAAAATTTTAAAAATCCACATCACACTCTAGCAGAATTAGAGAGAAATACCACAAAAATCTTGTTGAAACTCATCTCAACAGCTGTATTTTCCCTGGCACAACAGAATAACCAGCTGGAAAACAAAAACATACAGAAAGCAGTATAAAAGAGGTTGTTAGGATTATTAGAGATTTCAAGAGGCCTTTCACAAAAAGGCAGGTGCATCCCTGTGCAATGCTGCTTCCTGAATGTGAGGAGAATGAAGTGAATCCTGCCACGTGTACAGGCAAGAAAATTCTAAAAGTCTGTTAGTGTTTTCTTACCAACCCACAACAATTTAATTTTGAGAAACCTAAATGAGTGCAAATAATTTTTTGTTCCTTCTCCTGCTTCTATTACGCCCAAACCACCTACATTTCAATTCTCCTTATGATCTCCCTGCATTTATTTGGGATTATTTTCTTGTCAGGCTTTTGCAGTAATTTTCTTTAAATCTTACAGGTAGGTTTGGCACTGGCCAAAGCAGTTCAGGACTGACTACTGTGGAGTCTGGAGCTTTGTGACCGAGTATGACACAGGAGCACAAAGGCAGCTGTGGAACACATCCAGCATATCCCTGGCTCCCAGTGGGCAGCCTGCAGGAATAACCATGGATGACAGCAGCAAAACTGCTACCTACAGCTCAAACATACAAGCAAATGTTTAAAAATACAATGGCTTTTCATATTAAATTTGAAACCGTTTACAGAAAATTTTCAGAAATTTCCATTTGCAGAGCAGACCTGACTCCCACCTCCTGAAGTGCCCTGTACAATCAGCACCCAGCCAAACACTCATAATAAAAGTGATTATTTCAGTTTAAAATCCTGGCATAAGCCACCTCTCTCCTGTGCCCAAAGCCTCTTGCAGTTCCAAGCTAGAACAGTATTTTCACAGCTGATTTTCTTCTTCAGCTTCTACACTCTAGAAGGGATTCAGGACACAGAACTTGAATTCACATGTTCTAGCCTTAGAAAACACTGTTTAGCCTCTGCTTCTCCAGACACTGCAATTTTTCCCCCTGCAGCTTGAGAAATTTAACATTAAATAGCACTTCTAGGCCACAGGAGGAGACTAATGTAAAACCAATTCCCCAGATTGCCCTTGTTTATATAGACAGGATTTCACTGTGACAAGCTTCAACCAGGGCAACACTGCCACAATCTGCTGACGTTTGCTTACTTCAGGCTTCTTCCCTCACCAAGCCCATTCACCCTCTCCCAGGACAAGTCATTACATCAGAGATCTCCATTTTTCACACGGGCAGGCTGATGACTTGATTCTTACCACTTTGGAAGAGCTTGCCTTGGAATCAATGAGTTTTAAAGCCACTCTCTTGGAACACAAACCTTTGCAGGTGTGTGGGGACAGGGGTGGGAGAGCACAGGTGCAGCTGACTGGCCAGTTAAAGGTTTCTCCTGGGGACAATCCCCTGTAGTGTCTGCCAGGAGCAGCCACATTCCAGTCCTCTCTTCAGTATCTTGACTTCATAACTGCAAGTTCCATGATACAGAGCCCTGAAAGGGGAGCAGTCTGGAAAGGGCTTTTCCAACAGCACCCCCTCAGTCAGGAAGAGCAGAGCTGCTCACGGCAAGGGGGAAACCGGCAAATCATTAGATGGGAAAGAGCAACCACAAACCGAGAACCAGCGTCCCAAATCCCCCCTCCCCAGCAGGAAGAGGGGCCAGCCTGCAGATAAAGCACAAAGGGCACAACTCAGCTCTCCAAGCCTTTAGTGCTGCTTTGTGCACACAAATCCCCGTCGGCTTCTCTTGGGGAGCCGAGGCCCCGGTGAAGACGGACGGGCAGCGTGCAGGGAACCCTCCGTGCTGTGCAAGGACGAGGGGGCGAGCTGGGGCTGCAGGGCCAGCCCCGTGGCCCGGCTAGTGGCCCAGCTGGCGGTCGTCGTAGGTGCTGTACCTCTTGACGTGGATGCGGCGCACGCGCTCGCGCAGCTCCAGGCCCTCGTCGTCCTCGCTGTGCGAGGCCTGGCTGCGGCTGCGGCTCGTGGCCTCCAGCAGAGAGTTGTCCGGCACCCGGGGGGTCTCGTACAGCAACACGTTCAGGGTTTCCTCGTAAATCCGTGCCTCGGGGAATTCAACCTGCCAAACACAGCGCACGTCTTGCTCCTCGTCCATCCAGGATCACACCACATGTGAAAGGTACTGAGCCCTGAACCCACACATTATAGAGAGTAAAAAACTTCTGGCAGAGGGCTACTCCCACCACCAGGTCACCTCCCTCACCTAATCTTTTAGATTGCTCTAGAAAGGAATACAGTATCTCCAATTCTTAATGTTGGACCCTCAGCTGCAGCACGGGCGGGTGAGGCTCCGTTACCTTGGTTTGCTTCTTCTCGGTGGCGTAGACGATGGAGGTGCAGCACACCTCGGCCAGCTTGCGGCCCTGCCCGTAGAAGGACCAGCAGCAGATCTCGTCCCCGATCACATCCTTGATGAACAGCACTCTGCCGTTGAAGCGCAGGGACAGCTTGTCAAACAGCTCGATGTTCTTCAGCAGGTTGTCATCCGAGTTACTGAAACAAAAGCACCAACAGGGCTTTTCAAGCAGCCATCTCTGCCTGTTCTGCCAGCTTTCAGCGCTGATCCAACTGCAGAATACAAATAAGGAGTGACTCACTGCCACATGCTGCCAAGGAAAGAGGGGTAATAGCCCATTTCAGATACAAACACACTGCTCTGACCCCATGAGCCAACACACCAGCCTTCAGAGTTCAACTTACACAATTAATAAGGACAGCACCATGTCCCAAACCATTACAACAAACCCCACTGCAGTTCTCTGGACTGATGGCAGCAGAAGTCCAGAGTTCGTGTGTGCTGGAAGGGCCATGTGCTCTGCACCCTGCACACCACAGACACACTGCCAGGGTGAACACACTATTTAAAAACTAAGTTTTATTGAGAGACTTGCAATGTACGGTCTTAATTACCTTACAAAGCAAGATACAATTGTCATAACCCAAAACAAACCAAAAGAAGCCAAGTTAGATCATCCACCATCATCTTCCCCTCCCATAATCAAAGAGAAATTTTCCCACTAAAGTGAGGGTAAAAAAGAAGGGACATACCTGGTGTAAGAATATTTATTGTTGCTTCTATTATACAGCAGTTTAACAACAGGCTGTTGGGAGTGAGAGAAAAGAAGAAAAGGTAAGTTCTGTGTTTCAATACGTCTAGCATAAATCTACAGTTGATAAGAGCAGTTACTTTCATTGATGACTCTATCAGTCTCTCCTCTTCTTTTGGAGAGGTGATAATAGGGATGCTGCAGACAGGTTCATACAAGTCTTTCTTGTCCTGTTTCAATGAAAGAAGAAGGAGAGGAAATAAGAGAGAAATGCTAAAGCTGACATTGCTGCTGCTTCCTTCAGCCCCTCCAGCCATGTTCCCAAACGCTGTGATGCACAGGAAAAGCTCTGGGTTGCTACAGTAACCACAGAGCTTACCTTGATCTGCAACCCAGAATCACAGCAGAGAATTCTCATCCCCGGAAGGCAGCAGTAATTGAAATATTGGGATGCAGGTGGATGTCCTCAGCTACAGCGTGGACAAGGACTAGTCATATTTGGTTTAAGTGGGTTTATTATTCCATCCTTTCTTGAAGAAAAGGATAGAAGGAGTCTGCAGCAGTTTTAATCAACTCACACCACTGCACAGAAGAGCATCAGCCACTGTGAACTGAACAGGAGATGGCAGAACAGGATGTCACCAACATGAGCCAGCCCTCGGGACACAGAGCAAACTCCCAGTGTGGGCTGGACAGGCTGTGTCCCCAGATCCCTCACTATCTATTTACTAAATCATAACTTAAAAATACCTTGTACACCTCAGACTTGGTGCCATCTCTAGGGCCATGAAATAATCTCTCAAGTTGTCTTAAGTAAATTTTATAAGCAAAGCACCCATGAAACACTTGACAGGATTTCTGTTCTTACCTGCAGGGCTGCTTGGCACATGTCCACCAAGCCCTGGATGAGATAGTATTTGGCTTCTGCCATCAAGGCTTTGATCTCCTGCCTGTGTTTTGGAAGTGCAATCGTGTCATCTCTGAGATAGTTTAAAATTGTTCCAAAGTGCTTCCCACAACGGTCTATAAGGATCCAGCCTGAAAAATAACCAACATATTTCACTCACCTCAACTAGAGGCTAGAAAAAGCTCCCTGGAGAGGTTAAACAACACTGAGGTTTCCTGATACTGCTCAGGACACTTCTCCCATGTCACCTAGTGCAAGTCCCTACTGACTCTGAGCAAACTGAAGCTGCTTCCAAAATAGAACCTGACAGTGGAGCCCCTTTGGTACTGCCCAATGTTCCCACTGCTTTCCAGCACCCCAAAAGCAAAGCCCCCAGCTAAAACACTCAGCTTCCAGCACAGGAACCCAGCTGCAGTGCTACACTGTGATGCTGGGCAGCCAGAAACTTCTGAATTCTGAATTCACCAATGTTTGCAATAAGTAGATTGGGGTAAGTTCTGTGGCCTAACAAGGAGGATTTGGCAATGCTCCAAACACATCTGCTGCTGCTGTTTGGAGTTGAAAAGAGAAATGTTCTGAAGATGCTAAAAGGCAGACCAGCCCAGAAAAGTCAGTGTGGAGGAAAAGCTGTTCTACTCGCCAAACAGGAGCAAAGAACGGGACAGACAGACCAGGAGGAAGCACAGAGGGGATGAAGCAGAGGAAACAGTAGCAAACAGACAAATTCTTGCAATTTTACAAAATCCCTGAAGTCACATTCCCTAAGGAAACAGGATGTCTGACCGCTGCCAAACAATAGCAGTGTAGGATGCATGCACAAGGCTCAGTACAGTGCCAAACCCTTTCCCATAATGTGGAAGGCAGAAAAAATGTTTGGAATCTAGGAACAGAAAACAACCTAGGAAGTTTGCTAGGAAAGTAAGCTAAATCCCTGCTGGACTCTCCAGCTAGAGCTATCAGAACACGACTCTCATTTTTCCATTCAGGCTGAGACTCTTACACAAAACTGCCTCTTCTGCCCTTTATAATGTATCAGGGATTTAAAATATCCTGTGTCCAGCTGGAGGTGACACACTGCCTGACTGATCCCTAAACACTGTCATGGCACCATGAGCCACGACTGGAACATGCTGCTCAGAAGAAGGGGAAAAAAAAGATCTTTCAACAAGGCAAGGCAGGCTATTATGAGCCTCAGAGCTGAAAACTGCACGTCCCTCCCAATGTGCGTGGTTCGAATAACGCCACTGCTCGATGTGACAGAAATGACAACCCACAGACTGTCTGTTCAGTCTTTACAGCACCACCAACAATCTGCTCACCAGCTGTGAGGGCAGGAAAGAGACCAGTCCTTCCCCAGTTCATCTGAGTAACAAAAACAGGTATTTCTACAAAGCCAAAGGATTGCTGGCACCAACAGGGCCTGGCTGCCTAATGTTCCAAGTTATTTTTGGCATATATCATCCTCTACATCCTTAACGCAGCCAAACCACCACCAAAGCCCAGCTCTTTCACAGAATTGTCAACAATGAAAGTGCTCCCTTACCTTCCTTGTCGGTGAGCACCTCCATCCTGCCGCTGAACATGGCCTTGAGCATGGTGTCGTGCCTGGTGAGCACCTGCACCGTGGTGTAGTACAGCGAGCCCCCGACGTTGAGCCGCACGTATTTGTTCCCCAGGCTGCTCCCCTTGAGCCCGCTGGCCTTGGGCTTGTGTCCCGCGGCCGGGCACAGGGCACTGCCCAGGCACGTGTCCCCAGACATGTCCTTCTGGAGGTAGATGACCACCCTGCAGCGCGTGGGCCGGGCCAGCCCCGCCGTGGTGCCGCCGTCACGCCTCAGCGGGCCAGGACAGCGGGGCAGGGGCTGGCATCACCTCGGGGTCAGCACGGTACAGGGTCA